GTACTGTGACTCGGTGAGGGTCGGTGTGGTTGGGCGAGCAGGCAGTCTCATCAGTAGTTGGCCCGACTTCTACTGACTGCTGGCGTTTCCCTGCCTCTGAGACTCCCTTCCCTGCTCTGCTCCGCTGCGCCTTAGCTCCTCTGGGCATTTGCTCTTGCAATGGCCCGGCCTGTTGCAAGCAAAGCAGCGCCCCTTAAACGGCGCAGCAGCTGCGTTTGTCACAACAGCGTATACAGTGGCGTGCTCGATCGGTCCCCGAGGGCGATGTCCGTAGTAGGACCCCGGTCTCGGACGGCGTAAAATGTCGATTTTCTCGGCGAGCGCGAGGATGTCGTTGAAGTTGGAGAGCCCGCGTAGCATGATTTCGTGCGAGATGTCTGGCTTCAGTCCTCCGACGTAACGGTCTATCCGCTCCGCCTCGTGCATGTAGCCGACTTGCTCGCATAGTGCGAGAAAACCACTCGTGTAGTCTTGAACCGACCCAAGCTGCCGCCAAGTACGCAGTTTCCGACGCGCCGTAATGGAAGCCGCGATCGGCTCGAAGCGCGCCCGAAGCCCTGCGCACCACGCATCCCACGTGCTGTATTGGGCAGTTTCACAGAACGAACTCCAGGTAACAGCTGGACCCGTGGGCCCTCCCTCTTGCGACGGTGGCTCGTAGGCGCGTGGCGACGTCACGATGACTCGCCACCAGTCCATGGCGGGGCCCCTTAGCAGCGAAACGGCATACCGAATCTTCGCTGCGTCCGACTCGATGTAGTTTGCGTAAAAAAAAACGTTCATCGTGAAGATCCACGATTGAACCGTCAGACCTCCACGTTGGCTTGGGTCAAAACAGGGCGGGCATTGCTGCTTGAGTGGCATTGGTGCCATGAAGGTTTGTTCGCTGCTTGTCGCTGCGAATTCCATGTGCCGACGATTTTCGCGAGGCTCCCGCGGGCTTGGCGCGCCTCTGTTTCCTCCCATGCTAGGCATTGGTTGGGCGGCGCTATCACTGGCTGCGCCTGAGCGTTGTCCCATGCTGTCGTGTGGTGTTGGTGTACCGGACGAGATGACGATCGGCTCGTCTGATTGCGCAGGTGTATTTGTTGGTGCGTGTGGTGCTGCTGGAGTGTTCACCGTGGATTGCTGACGCGCGGCGTCATGCTCTGCTGTGAGCGTCGCAATTTCGAGCGTCGAATCTTCGAGTTGGCGTACCAGACGGTCGAGCTGCTCCTGCGTTAATGTGGCGAGCGTGAATTCGGCCATGGCGGGGGTGTCGGGCGAGCTCAGCGAGAGCCTCAGTCGTGGCCGTGCGTGCTTACGAGAGAGCACTACGAGCGGCGGTGCTGTATCGCTGAGAGACGTCTACCCCCCCCAAAATTTGAGATAGTGGGGAAGCGAAGGTGTGGGTGCGGTCCGAGAAGAGATCGTAGGCTCTGAATACCAAGTGTTACGAGTGCAATTGAGTGAACGCACGAAGATTGCACTATCGAAGCAACAAGTACAATGAGCGAAGGAATGGGCAAAGAATATATAGCGAAGCTACAGTGGTAACGGTTAATGACTATGGGTGTTGCGCGACGGGCCTGGCACTGAGGTTGGGAAAATGTGTCGAAGCGGAGGCCCGGAGCGCGGGTTACGCGCCGAGCCGTGTGGTCGGGATGCGACGTGCGAAAGTGGCGGGCGGATTGTCGATGCGAGAATCGCGAGTGGTAACGGTTGTTGACTGTGATGTACGCGTTGAGCAGAGATGCGAAGTAAGGAAAAAGAGGTTTTCCTTACACTAGCATGCTCAAACATAAGGTTTCCTATAAAACGTCTAGGGCAAATGACTTAAAGCACGTAATCGTGGAATATCACCACAGTGGTCAATCGTTATGCTCACTTGTCAATGCATGAAAAACACGTAGTATTTACACATCTTCAAGCCGCTGTACACACAAAATAACTGCAATCTTCACAGTTTCTTGTACTCCGCCGCCAAACAGAGGCCTATGTCGAGCACTCTTGGAAGTGCACGCTTCCAACGCCCTTCTCTCTACTTGCCGTTCTCCCAAGCCTGCCTTTGCACCTGCCACATGAACAACCACGCATCCGCATCTTCATCGCAATACGTCATTATGAAGCTCTGCAGAGTCCGCGCGTTCTCCGAAGTCAGATTCCACGGCGCATCCGCCGCTCTCTGCGCCGCAGCTGCCGGCGAGCCCTTTCCAACTGCGCCCAGGCGCGCAACGAATCTCTGGATTTCAACAGCGGTTTCCTGGCAAACTCCGCTATCGAAGCTGACCCTGTCTCCGCTTCCACTGTAATAACTCTTGCAGACCGGGGTGAGACGATAGCCTGAGACGGGAGCTGGAATTCGAAGAAAGGCGGCTGCCATGGCAGGTCCGAAGCGGAGATGACTGCAGAAGTAGATAAAGGCCTTGGACTAAGTGTGCGAGTGCTCGCTTTCAGCCTCAGCACGTGGTTGAAAAAATAGCGCCCGACGCCTTTTTCAATGCAGGGGCGAGGAGCAAACATGACTGAACTTGGCGGGGCGGGGGAGGTCGTGGCGGGGGAGGGGGAGGGGAGGCATGGAAGAGCAGGGGCAAGGGGCGGAGGAAGAATGGGAAGGTAAGGGGAGGGAAGCGGGCAAGGGGAGAAATCTGGGGACAGCTGGGAGAGCCCTTGGGGGGTGATGAACAAAGGCGAGATTTCAAAAGGCGAGGGAAAATGGAGGCGAATCTGACGGTTGCATTTCCACTTTCGCAACTGCCCAGACCAGAACATCCTAGAAGCAGTCAATCGATCGGTTCGGGTGATTTGGGAGAATCCGCCGTGGCAATGTTGCTGAATGCTTCAAGAATGTCGACGGTAGGACGTGATTTGGTTACCCATGCGGTTTCGACCGGAGGTCAGAGTTGTGGTTTCGACCAATGGAGTACCGCATGCGGTTGAGGCCCCACCCAATCACAAGAGCTGCATGTGCGAACGTGGAAGTCAAATGCGCGACTCGAGGTGTGGCAGGGGGCTCCTTATACTCCTTATCAGCATATTACGCTCACAGCATCACCACCTGGAAATTGATTTTGATTAATCCGTCTTGGTACATACAATGACAATATGTCCTGTCCAACACACCTCAGCCTCAACTAAACCCACTCTTTTCAGAGCAACGAACTAATTTCCCTGGTTATGAGCGGCCATTGACTGAACCTGCGCAGCAGGGGAGCCCCTCGCCACTCCGCCACTGGTCTTTGCCGTGAAGCCCTGGAGAGCAGCAGCATCGCACCCTGTCACCTTGGACGGGGCAGCAGCTGCCCTCTGCGCTGCTGCAGCACCAGACCCCTTGGCGACTCCACCACCTCCCATGCGGGCGGCGGTGCTCTGGATGTGAGCAGCAGTTGCGTGAGAGATGCCTCCGCCATGGCTTCCCCCGCCATGGCTACCGCCACCGTGACTTCCCCCGCCGTGGCTTCCCCCACCATGGCTTCCGCCTCCGCCACTCTTTCCTCCGCCTCCGCCATGACCGCCTCCGCCTCCCTTTCCTCCACCTCCGCCTCCTCCACCGCCTCCCTTAGTCATGTTGCTTCAGTGTTGGTCGAAAAGGCTGCGATTAGGTTGTGAAAATGACTGCCAGATAGAAGGATGCCAGTCAGAGAGCGGCTGAGTTTCCGTGACTGCGTCGTCTGTGTCTCGTTCTGACGAGCTCATGTCCAAGCGACGGTCTTTCTATAGTAGGCTCCGCGCCCACTAACTGTGTCCCCCACACTGGAAGGCGCTCCAATCGCCATTCAGGCGTCAACATCGTCCATGATCAAAATCGAGGCGCGGACAGAACCATAGAAATTCCATTTCTCCTCCGCGACGCGCGCAAGGTACATGCAGTCGCGTTAGGTCACGCACGTGGTACATTAAGTTGCATGCGATTGTGACTATCTTGCCTCAGCTCTGTCCGCGACAAATGGTATAGCGCCAGTAACGCGAAAACATACTCTGTCGTTTATCGCTGTCGCCATGGAATCTTCAAACGCGTACGACGTCTTCCGAAGTTGCATGTGATACTACTCATAGATCGGCTGTTGCATGGCATGGTGATGCGAAAAAAACATAGGAGAGCAGGGAGGGAGGGACAAGGTCAGTCACATGACAAGCAGGAGGCTTGGTTCACGCACGGGGAATGACGGAATTGAGAAATGACGGGATTGAGAAATGGCGGATCGATAAATTGACGGATTTCAAGAGCTATTGCCTCTCAGACAGACTATCGAGGGCGTGAACAGGCCGTGTAGGAGACAGGGCGGATGAGATGGGAAAGAGGGAGGGAATAGAGGGGGAGAAGCGGGGGAGGTGATCGAACGGTTTCAATCAGCTCAACTTTCCAACTGACGGAATGGATCGAAAGCTGTGGTGGTATGTCAGAAGGAGGTGTCTCCGAGAAGCCGTTTGATTGGTTGCGGAGCTGAAAGCCCCGACACAATGTCCCGTTCTTTGCCTGTAGTGTCACGCGGTACAACGTACAGAGCAGCTTATAAATGCACTTGCTTTTTGTAACAATGAGAAGGAACCCTCCGCGACACCTCCGTACACGCATTCCAGCCACTCGCAATTAGGTGTACCAGCTCATATTGAGGGCCAGCGGTATTGTCAGGTGATCGGCGGTATTCTCACCAACCAACTTTCGAAGTTCAGTATACAGGACACATGTGCTGCTGAGCGCTCTTCAACCACATCCATCAGTGAGATGGTTTTTTCTTTAGATTCTCCTGTGTCGCTAGAAGCATGCTGCTGTTGCCGCTGTATACCAGAGAGTCCAGCGTCATGATCAGTGAGCGCCACTCGCAGTCCTTTTAATTTTCGTTGAGTGAATTTAGCGCGTTAGCTTCATAAAAAAAATAGTCAATATGCCGAAGAAGAATCCCAAGTCGAAACGTGCGGCCGCGAAATCCGCCGCGCAACGCGCGGAAGATGACGAGCCGCCGCCGCTATCCATCGCGACGGTCGCTCGCGCCGCGTCCGAAGCCGTTGCGGCAGACCTAATGTCTGCCGCGGAATCCATGTCCGCCGATCGACTGCGCGCCGATGGCGTAATTTCCGCCCTCCCTGCAATCTCCGTCTCCGGCGGCGCCGCCGCGGTTTCCGCCGCAAATGACGGCGCCGGCGTCGCCATTGCCGTCGGCGGCCGGTCCAGAAGCCTGTCCGTCTCCCCTGCCGGCAGTCCGTCAGCCGCCACTGCCGCCGCAACAGCCGCCGCGGGAACCGGCTTCACAGCTAAAAGCAACCTTGCAGCCAAGGCGAGCTTAACTCCTAGCCCCGGTAGCGCCAGCGGCGGCGGCGGAGGCGGCGGGAGTGGCGGGGGGACGGGGAGGAAGCTCCGTGTGGGGCGGCAGCGATCGTGGTTGCCACGTGGCAGCCCGTCAGCGGCGCAAGCAGCATCCTCCAGCTCACCTTTCACATCAGGTGAGGACCGTAGTACCCTATATATACTTGAGATTATGTGCTTGGCCCTCTCAAGAGCGACTTAGGTGTAGTACCTATGTACTTGCCTTGACGCCTTTCAGGGAGAAGAACACCGAGCCTTGCCTTACGGAGACTGTTCGAGCAGGTCGCGGATTTCGTTGTTATTCCTCCCCTGCCGGTGCCATTGGTCTTCAAGCATTCGTCCCCCTGACTCCCCACTTCCCCCCTTCCTTCCCTCCCCCCTTCCTCTCCCACCCACTCTCCCCAGCCCCCTGGTCAATGTGTCGATTCCGCCTCGCCACTCTCCTCGAAATCGCCTTCTCCTTCCTCCTCCTCTTCGTTACCCTCCTGCTGCATCGCAATGGCTGCCTCTCCCCCTCCTCCCCCGCCTTCCCCATCTGCTGGCGCAACCTAGGCGTCTCGCTCCCCCCATCCCTCCGCCAATCCCTCCCCCCATCTGTCGTGCAAGGGAAGAGCCGGGGGGGAGTGACAGGCGGGGGGGAAGGAATGGGGGGGAGAAGAGAGCGTGGGGGAATGCAGGGGGTGGCGGAAGGGGTTGGGGGGAGGGGGGAGAGAGGGGGAAGTGTAAATGTATTGAGAGGGGAAGGGGACACGTCATTACTACGAGTGCTGATGCCAGGCAATGGGGGAGCCAGTGGGGGAAGCAGGGGGGAAGGGGGAAGGGGAACGGTTGGCCTGGGGGAAGCAGAGTCGGCTGCAGCTGCTGCGTTGATGGGGCGAGGGGGGGAGGAGGGGAGAGGGAGTGCGGAAGGGGAAAGCAACGGCGGGGGAAGTGATGGGAGGGATGGCGGGGAAGGGGAAGGAGCGAAATTTCAGCCATTAGCAGAAGGGGAAGGTCCGACTACTAGGAACGAGCCAGGGGGAGGGGGAAGGGGAGGAGGGGGAGAGGGAGGCGAGGGGGAAAGGGGAGGTGAGGGGGAAGGGGAGGCGCAGCATGGGGGGAGGAAGGGGGGAGACGAGTGGGTGCTGCGGCCTGATGAGAAGTTCATGTGGTTCGCCAGTCATGGCGGATTTGGTAACCAGGTGGGCGAAATATCCAGGCCTTTTGAGTTACCAGGTTTGCAAAACTTCAGAACTACCAGGTTTGCTCGCCATGTCCCCCTTATAAAGTGATTCAACTTGTGTAAGGCCTTCAATTAGCACGTCTCCTAAATCGAACGCTCATCATCCCGCCCAAGCTCTCGCACTTTGCCAAGTCGTCTGGCATCGGTCGGTGCGACCTCTTTCCGTCCTCTTTCCCCCCGTTCCACTTCTTTCAGGTGATTCAACTTGTGTGGGGCCTTCGCCTAGCAGGTCTCCTGAACAGAACGCTCATCATCCCGCCCAAGCTCTCGCACTTTGCCAAGTCGTCTGGCATCGGTCGGTGCGACCGCAACCCCACCAAGCCGGACCGGACGCGGCATGACGCGTGGGGGCACTACTCTGACATGATGCGCGGGGGGAAGGTGAGAAAAGGGAGAGGAGGGTGTGTGTGTGTGTGTGTGTGTGTGTGTGTGTGTGTGTGTGTGTGCATAGATGAGGGAAAGCTGAGTTTGGATTCAACCGCTCCAAGCGGGATGGGACGCGGCACGACACGTGGGGGCACTACTCTGACATGATGCGCGGGGGGAAGGTGAGCGGGGGAGGGGGAAGGTGAGAGGGGGAGGGGGAAGGTGAGAGGGGGAGGGGGAAGGTGAGAGGGGGAGGGGGAAGGGTGGGAATAAGAGAGGGTGTGTGCTGGTTTTAGATTGAACCCCCCACCAAGCCGGATCGGACGCGGCATGATGCATGGGAGCACTACTCTGACATGATGCGAGGGGGGAAGGTGAGCAAGAGGGGAGCGAGGCATGGGCTCTGAAGCATGGGTGAAGGCAGCACTTACCATTTCCCCCCGTGAAAAAAGGAGTGTTTTGAGACGTCTCAAAAAATTCCCCTGTGTGCCCATCCCCGTGTTCCCATCCCCGTGTTCCCATCCCCGTGTTCCCATCCCCGTGTGCCCATCCCCGTGTGCCCATCCCATTTGCAAACATCCCCAGAGCTACGTACCGAACCATGCCCGATGTTCTCGCTCACCCTCTCCCACCTTCTCCCACCTTCTCCCACCCTCTCCCACCCTCTCCCACCCTCTCTCCCTGAACCACACACACACAGGGCTATGTGTCCATGGCTGATGTGCTCGATTTCAAGACTCTGCCGCCCGCTTTCATCCGCACCATCGATCTGCGGCACTTTGCCGCCCGGTTCTGCCACTGTGACGTGGCGCCTGCCTGCTACGGTGGCGCGTGTCGGCAGCTGACTCACGGGCGGCACCACGATCCCCACTCACGTAAGGTGCTCATTGCTCCTCTCTGCTCCTCATGCATCTTCTCTGCTTGCTGCTCTTTTCTCGCTGCTCCCTGCCACTTGCCCTAGCTCTTGCTCTTTGCTCACTGCAAGGTACGTGTCGGCAGCAGCTGACTCACAGGCGGCACCACGACCCCCACTCACATAAGGTGCTCATTGCTCCTCATGGCTCCTCCCTTTCCTCTGCTCCTCTGCTCCTCTCTCCTCTTTCCTCTCTGCTCTCTGCTCTCTGCGAACCGCTCCTTGCGCATTTCTCACTGCATTGCTGCTCACTGCTCTCCCGGCAACATTCTCAAAAGTGACACACACACACTGTCACTCACTCCCTCTTCCTCTTCCACTGGACGACACGTGCATGTGAGAGTGTGAAGAGGAATCTGTTTTTTGAGAATTCTAAAAAAACGGACGACAAGTGCATGTGAGAGTGTGAAACTCTTGAGACAAACCCAAAATTCACTCACTCACTCTCACGCACACTGTCACTCACTCTCTCCTCTCCCCTCCGTCCCCGCAGAACGACAAGCGCATGTAGGAGTGGGGGGCTCAGCTAAGGGGACAGAGGAACAAATGAATTTGCAAGCGAGAAATTTCAACTCTTTTATTTCTTCTTCTTCTTTTTTCCTTCCTCCTCCTGTTCCACCCACCCACTCTTCAGGATGACAAGTGCATGTGGGAGTGCGGGGCAAAGCTAGGGGCGCAGGGAGGGGCAAGTAAGAAATGGAGGAAGGAGGGGGTGCTGTTTCCGATTGACAACACGTGCAAGGACACTCTCTGGACCGTTGGCAATTATGCAAGGTATGTGCACGGTGCAGTGCAGTGGAATGCAGTGCAGTGCGGTGGAATGCAATGCAATGCAAAGTTGGGGGCTCAAGGGGGGATGAGTGAAAAGTGGAGGCAGCAAGGGGTGCTGTTTCCGATCAACAGCACGTGCAAGGACACTCTCTGGACCATTAGCAATTATGCAAGGTATGTGCACGGTGCAATGCAGTGGAATGCGGTGCAGTGCGGTGGAATGCAATGCAATGCAAAGTTGGGGGCTCAAGGGGGGATGAGTGAAAAGTGGAGGCAGCAAGGGGTGCTGTTTCCGATCAACAGCACGTGCAAGGACACTCTCTGGACCATTAGCAATTATGCAAGGTATGTGCATGGTGCAATGCAGTGGAATGCGGTGCAGTGCAAACTTGCAAAGCTAGGGGCGCATCAGGAAGCGAGTACGAGGGGGTGGTGTATTCCATTGGCAACACGTGCAAGGACACTCCCTGGACGATCAGCAATTATGCAAGGTAAGTCCATCCATGGTGCAGTGCGGTGGACTGTGGTGTGATGAGGAGTATGAGTATCACATTTTTGCAAGGACCTAGAGGCAACAGTGGGAGAGAGAAGGCCAGCAGTACTGACTTTTTTTTTTCGCACATCAACTTGAAACAAACGGTGCTCTTTCTCCCGCCCATGCCCCTGCCATCCATCTCCTCCCTCCCTCTTCCCCCTCCCTTCCTCCCTCCCCGCATGCATCAAGTCTCAAGGACCTGGTGGCAGCAGTGGGGGAGAAGGAGCCAGCGGTGCCGGCCTTTGCACACATCAACGTGAAGCACAACCGCAACGAGCCCGTGCCTCTCAATGTATTTGCCACTCTGGGGGATGCCTCGCCTGCCAAGGACAGCAAGGTGCGTGCTTCTGGAAGGGCTAAAACACGGTCATACATGCGATGGTAAGAAGACACATCAACGTGAAGCACAACCGCAACGAGCCCGTGCCTCTCAATGTCTTTGCCACTCTGGGGGACTCGTCCCCTGCCAAGGACAGCAAGGTGGGTGCTAGTGCGGAGGACTAACAACCGGTGCTGCAATAATGTCAACGTGAAGCACAACCGCAATGAGCCCATGCCACTCAGCATCTTTGCCACTCTTGGGAATTTGTCGCCTGCCAAGGACAGCAAGGTGGGTGCTGTGGGATGGAGAGGACTCTCCAACACTGTTACGTGTGTAGTGTAGTGTCACATCATTGGTGGTAAGAAGACACATCAATGTGAAGCACAATCGCAACGAGCCCCTGCCTCTCAATATCTTCTCCACTCTGGGGGATGCCTCGCCTGCCAAGGACAGCAAGGTGGGTGCTGTGCTGAAGAGAGGGAAATAGTGCGCTCTCTGTGCCTCGCTACAGCTCAGCTCAGCTCAGCTCAGCTCAGCTCAGCTCACCTCAGCTCACCTCACCTCACCTCACCTCACAACCCGTGCCGCTCAATATCTTCTCTACTCTGTGGGATTCGTCCCCTGCCAAGGACAGCAAGGTGGGTGCACATCCACAAGTTCACATTACATGCGATTCGCACAGAATGCGTTGAGGCGCCAACGTAGCTAGCCAGTTCCGTTCCTCTTTCTCCACAGTCATTGCATCTCTTTGCTCTTCTCATATTCGCTCCTCCCTTTCCTCCACTCACATGCCCTCCTCTTCTGTATGATGTTTTTCCCTCATCTTTTCTTTTTCTTCCGTCCCCTGTGTCCCATCAGGTGTTGGCCTTCCCATCGCTCTTCCATCCTCGCATAGCAGACATAAACCTGGAGTGGGACGACCGTGTGCAAGCGATCAGAGAGGTGGGTTGAGAGCGGTGGGTTGGGTAGTAAGTGAGTTAAGTGGGGTGATAAACGAGAGTACAACAACCTTTAGTGGGACGATCATGTGCAAGGAATCAGAGAGGTGGGTGGGGGTGACACGAGAGGTGAGAAAAATGCAACACCAAGAGGGCGCTGTCGACCTTGCCTTGGTTGGGACCCGTGTTGATTCCCTCCAACTCCAACCTATGCTTGCAGGCACCCGTGTCAATGCCCTTTGCCCCACCTATAATGGATCTGGCTCGTGACTTCATATGCAGCAGCATAGGCCGCCTCTGACACACTCTACGCTATCTCCACTTCACTTCCCATCTTCCCTTCCCTTGGTGGCAGGCCCCTGTGTCAATGCCCTTCACGCCCCCCATAATGGATCTGGCTCGGGATTTCATATACAACAGCATAGGCAGACCCTTCGGCTGCATGCAAGTGCGGGGCACGGATGGCATGTTCGTCAAGGCGCTAAAAAACACTCTCAAGTAAGTGTTTTGTTGCGATTCTTTGTTCTGTGAGATTTTGAAGAGAGGTAGAGTGTGGCAGAGGGGGGAACAAGTTACTTTCTTTGCTCGTCCTCGTGTAAGCACCAGTGTGACGCTTAAAGATTTCTTTCTCCCACCCCATCCTCTCTCCTCTCACCAGGGACGCGGAAGCGACGCTAAAATAGATGCTTAAGCGCAACCCGCATGCCCACGCCCCTCCCCTCAAGTTCCCGCTCTTCCTTATGACCGACATTCCCAAGACCTCGTGGAAAGGAACCTTCCTGGAGCACCTTTGAGGCGCCTCAAAACAGGGCTCATGGAAACGAACCTTCCGGAGCACCTTGACTCGTTGAAATTCGGTCCTTTTCCCCACTCGTGCTTGCTTAAGCATCACTCTTAAGTATCACTGACATTGTCGACCTTCTGTCCTTGTGCCCCACCCGTCCCCTCTCCATTCACCAGGGATGCGGAGGCGACGCTAAAGGAGATGCTTAAGCGCAACCCGAAAGCCCACGCCCCTCCCCTCAAGTTCCCGCTCTTCCTTATGACTGATATTCCCAAGGCCTCGTGGAAAGGAACCTTCCTCGAGCACCTCGGGGAATTTCCTGTTGAGCTTTTCACTGTAGACGGGATTATGGATAGGGTAAACGCCGCAGCGCGAGCGATTTTAACGGAGGAGATTGGGCTGTATGCTAACAGGGGACAGTCGTACCTGAATGGTAACGGGGTTGCTAATATGGGGGATGGAGCTGGTGTTGCTGGTGCTGGTGCTGGTGGTGGGGGGAAAGGAGGCATGCAGATTGGACCTCAAACTCCTGTGAGACAAAGAAGGCGCAGCCTGGCAGCGGCCGAGAAAAGGGAAGTTGAGAGATCTGCACACAGGCTAGAGGGTGGTAGAAGGTTAGAGGAACAGGAGGATCACACAGGAAGGCGCAGACTAGCAGAGGGGGGAGGGGAGGAGGGGGAAAAGAGAGCGGAAGAGCTTGAGGATATAGTGTTGTTCGTCGAACAAGCCATTTGCTGCCATGCGACCCTTGGCACGTTCACCACGCTCAAGTCCACTGCTGGCAGCCTCGTGCATGCTCTGAGGAGGGCAGGGAACTGTGTTGTGGAGGAAGAGGCGTTTCAGAGGCAAGGGGGGAGGAGATGATGAATGGAGTTTTGGAGGCAGGGAGGTGGGCAGCTGAGGCACGTTCACCACGCTCAAGTCCACTGCTGGCAACCTCGTGCACGCTCTCAGGCGAGCAGGGAACTGCATGGTGGAGGAGGAAGCGTTCAAGAGGCAGGGAGGGAGGAGATGAAAATTCTAAGGAGTGATACAAGTCCATGCCTCTCTTTGTAGGCTCGTTCACCACATTCAAGTCCACTGCTGGCAGCCTCGTGCATGCTCTGAGACGGGCGGGGAATTGTGTGATAGATGAGGAGGCGTTAAGAGTCAGGGCTGGAGGAGATGAGGAGGCGAGATTACTGGACGTGGAGGAGGGGGGGGGGGATTGTATCAGGGGAGAGGGGAGGCCATTCAAGGGAGAGGGGAGAGGGAGGGCTTTGGGGAATTAGCCATACAGCCTTGTACGAGGTGGGTGGGTAGTTTGGTGGAGGATGTACCATAGTTGGAAGCAAAAGGGAGGGAGGAAATGAGAATGCCCTTGATTTGGCGTTGGCAAAAAAGTAATGACGGTAATTACAGTAAGGAGGATTTGGATGTGTAGCATGGTGCGATGTACCGGTAATGCTGAGCTCACTGTTGTGTACAGCTGATTGTGGTACTGCATGGGTGGGAGATTGGAAATACCCACGAAAGGTTTTAATTACCCTCTTAGGCTCAGACATGGCTCCAATCACAGCATGGTGCAATGTAACGCTCACTGTCGTGTACAGCTCCACTGTATCATGGGATTGTAATACGGTAGATGTAATCAGCCATTCGCAGCGCCCAAAATCTAGACCTTCAGTTCCTTTCCATTATTGAATAATAGGCCGCGATGACTAGGGAGAATTAGTTTGTGAAGCTGTATCCGTCCACCTATGTATGCATAACCATTCCTAACACTTCGGATAGACAGTGGGGCCACGAGCCAAAGCAGAGTGTGTTATACGTGCTCTGCTCTGCTGCTCCTCCCATCCCATCCATCTATCCCTGGAGTCCTGACTCTTGTGCAACAATAATGCAAGCACAGGCTTGACTCGCAGCAGTTACAGTAACCCTGCTCACAAACGATACACATTCTGCCCATGCGCCTATCCTTCACACGATAACAGGAGGTGCCATGAGCCAAGAGAGGGTGTTATACAGGTGCTCCACCCACCCATCCAGTGGCCCCGGATGACAATAATGCAAGCAGTCACCTCTGTAGCCCCTGCAAGTCAGCAGCATGTTCCTTCTCTGAATCTGCCTACCCGTACTCTTCACGCATCAACAGGAGAAGGAGGTGCCATGAGCCAAGAGAGGGTGTTATACAGATGCTCCACCCACCCATCCAGCGGCCCCGGGTGGCAATAATGCAAGCAGTCCACCTTGTTAACTGCCGGCACAAACTCCTTATGCCCATCCGCTCGCAGCGCCGTCATCGAATCCACATCCATATAAGCAGCTCCGTACCTCTTCACAATCACCTCCGCAAGCTTGTTCTGACGCGCGAACTTATCCCAGTTATACGGCAAAATCCCCGGATCCTGCCGTTTCTTCAGCGGGGTTTTCTGACCGGAGCAGTTGGCGTGACCGGGCGGCGTGTTTCGCCAGATTATGAGCTTTTCTGGAAAGCGGCTTCGGAGGTACATAAGGGCGCGTTCAAGCACCGGTGCGTAGAGCTCATCCTCTTCATAGTGCGGCCCGCGATTGATTATAATAACATCGGCTTCGCGGATAACTTCCATTCGGGACCACGGCTGTCGATCGAACAGGCGAGGATTCGACAGGGTGAGCTGATCCGTTCGCACGTAAGCTGCCCGAAGTCCCGGGCAGACGTCATCGCTGACCGAATAGAACTTGCAAAAGGCGTGCCGGACCGACGAATCATTGTGCCAATCGGAGCAATACCTCGGAATCTCCATTCTCAAATGCTCCTCGGAAACCGGTTTCGGGAGACTCAGCACAAGGTTGTTCAGAAAGGCCTCTGAAAGCTGCTCGTTCAGAGAGTCTCCCAGGAAGAGGAAGAGCCGCCCTCGCCCCACTCTCTCACAGAATTTCTCCGGGGAGAATTTCATCCAGCTGGAGTGGGAGAATCGCATCGTCATCCGCATCGTCTCCCGCCCATCCCCACCGCTTTCCACCGCTCTGGCCTCCCTCCCGCGATACCTCCTCCCGCCCTCTGTCTCCTCCTCCTCCACCTCCCACGACCGCACAGGCACCTTCGGGCAGGCATTAGCCGGCACACCCCATTTGTACTTGAGAGTTTCTCTAACTGTCCACTCCTCCGGATCACCCCTAGCATCCGCAATCTCATCAGCTTCCCCCAATGATTTCCCATGGTGCCGCCCGCTCATTGGTGAGTCACATTGGTAGGGTTTCCCCATAAACCACCAGGGTAATCGGCGGGGTTTCGGGTCGTATACCCACCTGCCTTCCTGACCTACACATTTCATCCAGGATCGGAATTTCTGAACCTGCAGCGGTCCCCGAAGCACCGAGCCTCGGATCAGGTCCGTCGGCCGAAGCAGCGACCGGCCGCTAGCTTCGGCGTCGGCGAGAGCTTCGGCGGCAGCTTCGGCGTCGCGGGTCGGGGACATAGCCGCGGCTACAGCAGCGGGCGAGGTGTAGATGTCGTGAGCTATGCGATCAATGACATCGTCAATCTCCCGCGTGTTGCACTCCAATTGGCCAGATCCCGCTGCCACGTCATCATTGTCGCCGCCCGGCTGGCAGATGAGGACGAAAGAGCGGACGTCGTTGGCCGAGGCGAAGGAGCGGGAGAGGAGGGTGTAGCGGGTGGTGTGGGAGACGGGGATGGGCGGCCGGAGGTCGAGAACCGCCGCCCGGGGCGGCATGAACATGGTGTTGGTGATGGCGAGGCCTAGACAGGTTATGAAGAGAGCTGCCCGGTTGAATATGTGCTTTCCTGGGGTGGTGGTGGGTGGTGGTCGGGGGGAAGGGAGAAGGTGGGGGGAAGGGGAAATAGGGAACAGCGAAGAAGGGATTGCGAGGCAAGAGTGAACATGGTGTGGTGGTGGCGAGGGCAAGACAGGTTATGAGGAGTGCAGCTCGGATGAATATGTGCTTTCCTGGGTGAATGTGGGTGAGTTAAGGGAACAGAAAAGAGGGGAGTGAGTGAGAGGCATGAACATGGTGTTGGTGATGGATGGCGTGGCTGAGACAGGTGATGAAGAGTGCTGCCTGGTTGAATATGTGCTTGCCTAGGTGGATGTAGGTGAACGTGTTTACATGGAGATGCTGGCAGACACGTGCAGCATGCTCACACGGACGCTCTTAAGACGAACCTTCCATGATCTTTCTGCTGGAGGAGAAGACGACGATTCTGTCAGCAGGGAAGTATCGGTGCAGCAGCTCCTCTACCTGGCCCAGTGCTTTGGTGCAGCGCATTGAGTCGTGCGCCACCACCACCTGCATGCAGCAATGACATGTATGCACAGGCATAGATAGGGGTATGAGATATGGGAAGTATCAGTGCAGCAGCTCCTCCACCTGGCGTAATGCCTTGGTGCATTGCATTGAGTCGTGTGCCACCACCACCTGCCAATACAAGCAGCGCACATGCACACATGCACAGACAGACACACATGGGTGTGCAAAGAGAGTGAGTATCGGTGCAGCAGCTCCTCTACCTGCCCCAGGGCCTTGGTGCAGCGCATTGAGTCATGTGCCACCACGACCTGTTCATTGACGCGTACACGCATGCACACACAAACACACACACACACACACACACACACACACACACACACACACACACACACACACACACACACACACACACACACACACACAGGTGGATGCACTAACATGCGCCGGCAGTGCAGGCATCGAGGTGTAAACATGGCGACTTTTGGCGTCAACTAAAGCTGACTTCTGGGTCCACTCAAAAGTCACCTCGCATACACACACATGAGGATGCACTAGCATGCACCAGCAGTGCAGGCCGGAAGGTGCGTGCAGCATACATGGAATAGAACGACCTTGTAGGACAGCCGCCACACACTCTCACCTGCCAGCCTATGGGCACACACAAGCCGTGCAGGTCCCCTCCCTGTGCGTATCCCTCCACTGGCAGAGCCAGCAGCAAGGTGCTTTCAGCATAGATAGAGAATGCTTCGAGCTACCCAGACAGGGCAACCCTACACGGCTTAACACCCTCACCTGCCACCCGATCGGCACCCACGAGCCGTGCAGGTCCCCTCCCTGCGCGTACCCCTCCACCGGCAGAGCCGGCAGCGACGGGAACACGGATCGCGCCCCGTCCAGGAACCCAGGCGGCACCTTCAGCACACGCTCTAGAGGAGAGGAGGGGTCGCTGAGAGCAGAACGGAGTGTGGTGCGGGGGACCCATGTGACTGAAGGAACAAAGCGACCTTATAAACCTAGATTCTCACCTGCCACCCGATCGGCACCCACGAGCCGTGCAGGTCCCCTCCCTGCGCGTACCCCTCCACCGGCAGAGCCGGCAGCGACGGGAACACGGATCGCGCCCCATCCAGGAACCCAGGCGGCACCTTCGGCACACGCTCTAGCGGAGAGGAGGGGTCGCTGAGAGCAGACGAGGGGTTTTCTTCAGTGAGTGAACGTGAGGAAGAGGAGGAGGAGAGGGTGGGAGTGGGGGTGGTGGAATCGGCTGTGGGGTCTGGGAGGGGAGGGGTGGGGAGGAGGAAGCGTCGGCGGAAGTGCTTCCAGAGAGGGAGGTCTGGATTGGTGCAGTGCGGTATGACTGGCTGGTAGAGAGTCTGCACGTGCCACAGGTACTTGCTGGAGGTGGTGCCATCGGTAGTGGAGAGAAAGGAGTGCTTCGCTAGAGGCAGTCCCAGCAGCTGCGATATGAGCAGCTGCAGTAGCTGTGGTTTGGATGGAAGGGAGGGAGGGGAAGGGGGAGCGAGGGAGAAAGAAGAGTGTAAGATGAGCTTTAGGATTGAGAAGTTAGGAATCAGGGTTTGAAGGCGAGACTTTAGGGTTCAAGGGGAGAGGCTTTAGGGTTTATGAGAAGGTCTGGGTTTAGACTGGAGGAGATCCGATCTGCTGGGCAAACAGTGATTGTCATTTGAACATAAATTGCGACTAAAATAAGGATGTCTTGCACATGAGGTGTGACAAATTTGTTCAGGAGGCGCACAACACCTCATTCCACTGCACTGCACCGTACCTTCTTGACGTGAGTGACAATTTCGGCTCCGCACAGGTACGGCAGCAAGTGGTGCAGCGGCAGCAGAAAAGGCGTCTTTTCATCAACAGCAGCACCATCAGGGACTGACGTACAGGGTACGCCTCTCCACCTCAATGCACCACTCTCGACCACTTCATGCCACAAAAAACGCATTCCACTGTGCTGAACCATACCTTATTGGCGTGAGTGACAACTTTGGCTCGACACAGGGACGGCAGCACCATGAGAATCTGATCGTACAAGAGACGCCTTATATCTGATACTACCGCACTGAACCGCTTCACACCACTTTATGCCACACTTTACCACATTCTACCGTCTTCCACCACACTGCACCATACCTTCTTGGCGTGAGTGACGACTTTGGCTCGGCGCAGGGACGGCAGCACATGGTGCAGCGGCAGCAGGGGCGGCAGCACCATGAGAATCTGATCGTACAGGGGACGCCTCTCCATAAAGTGACCCGGTAGAAGCAGATTCAGTACAGTCTCCTGGCGAGACACGTGTGTGTCCACTCCATACACCGTCTGATTATCAATAAAAAAACGTAAGGGGAAAGGGAAGAGATGGAGAGAGGGGGGTTGGGAAGGAGGGAGGGATGGAGGAAAGGAAGGAGAGAGGGAGAGAAAGAGGAGGGAGGGAGGGGGAGAGGGAGGGAGGGAGGGAGGGAGGGAGGGAGGGAGGGAGGGAGGGAGGGAGGGAGGGAGGGAGGGAGGGAGGGAGGAGGGGAACGAGGGAGGGAACGAGGGAGAGAGGAGGAAGCATGGAAGAGAGGGAGAATTATTGCAACCAGGAGCGACGGGAGGGAGCAAGGGTGGCGAGGGAGAAAGAGAGGGAGTAAGGAAAGGAGTGAGTGAGGGAGAAAGGGAGTGAGAAAGGGCTGCTGCTGGCAGAGGCAGCAACATGAGGCAGCACGGTCAGCACAGCACAGCACGTGCGCAGCTGGGGGACCTTTGAGCCGACATTTTAAGGCGCCTCAAAATACAGTCGACAAAAAAGCAACCGGGACTTCACGTTGCAATACCCTCACGGGCAGCACGGACGCACCTGTGACGATGACGTGGCGCAGCCTGATACGTCGAAGCGATGCGTGGCGTTGAACACGCGGCCCTCGCCGTCCAGAAACACGTCGTTCAGCACAAACAGCGCACCCGCCGGCTCCGGGGCCTTCTTAGCCGCCTTACCCCACTTTAATCTCCGCCGCGCCTGCGCCTCCCGCTGCGCCTGCTCCTGCGCAGCTCGTAACTCGGCCGTTCTAAGCGACAAGGTGATTGGTCCCGGATCGTCGTCAGGAGGACAGCTGGGTCGCAATAGGTGGCCTGGTTGCGTCCCGTCGTCTTCTAGGCATTGATCCAGCGGGTTAACTCCCGTGCTGAAGTGGATCCGCGACTGCGTACGGTTCAGCAAAATCGTACGGCCGTACGCTGCCAGGTCAGCATCGGGATCGACCGGATCCGCGGGATTCCAACACGTGGCGACCTTTCCGGCGAACCCGGGACAGGGGGAAAGATCCGGACAGGGTTTCCCCTTGCAAGAAACTGATCCGGCTGGAACAGAGACGTCTGACGAGGAGGCGAGAGAGGCGAGAGGAGTGAAACGGACGAGCTTTAATTTTGAGAGATTAATCGGGTTCCCTAGGGAGTATTTTCCAGCTCTTCGGCCGGAGGGCTGAAGAACCTGTAAGCGTCGCCGCTGATTTGCGTCCTTAGCGGATCGGGAGGTTTGGAAAGGTATCCGCGAATCACGCGGCGATGAGGAATTGGACGGTGGAGATAGTTCCGATAAGCGATCGACGGCTCCGATGCTGGATAATGACGAGCAATCAGAAGCATTATAACGGGTGCTCGGTAGCTTTATCAGGGGATTCGTTACAGGAGAGGTTTCCAGTCGCTTCAGCAGACGTGATAGACGACGATAATCGGCAGAAGGGCGCGTGGGTGTACCGGCCGAACCTATAACGAATGCGCTTATAACGACAAGGACTATACGGAGGATCAGCGAGCCAGACGGCCTCGAGAATGGTCGAGGCGCCATGAGCACATGAGAGGAGGAAAAAATATCGTTCGCGAAATCAGCGCCCGAAGTTAGCTAGTAGTGACGAGGAATGGGAGGAGGGCACGCGCCCGCATCCAGCGGCGAGGGAGTGCGCGGCTCGGACGAAGGGAGTGCAATGACCAGGATCCAGGATACGCAATGGGATCAGATCTGATCAAAACTGATCAGAAAAGATCAGAGACAGCACACGCGGCGCCTCCTATGACAACGTTGTGGAACGCAACGACTCTATCCGCGCCATTGTCTTAGGATTGCAAGAGACTGTAATACAATCTAGCCCGGCTGTTCTGAAGAATTTTCAAGACAATGGCCAATGCCTCCAATCTAGCGTGCCAAGGCTACGGACACAACTCATCAACTGTAACACATGTGCTCCTTCACACTACTCGTCGACTCGTTTCATTGTAGTGCCGCACTGAGCTCTTTAACTGGCGCTTAATCGTCTCGAGCCGCGACGATCTTCCTGCCCTAACAGCATCGGGGAGGGGAGACCCACATTTTCCCGCAGCGCACCTAACCAGGGCATCAACCGACAGGTGAAGAGGGAGAGGGGAGGAGCAAGCAGACAAGCTTGGTTCGGTTTGTTCGGTTCGGTTTGGTCGGGGTGGTGGGCGGGTGGTCAGGGGGCGTGTCTGAATAGTACGTTTGGGTGCGGCTTGGAGAGATTGTTGACGTTCTACAGGGATGTACTAGCGTTTTAGAACGGTTGGGTAAAGGTTGGGCGAAAACGAACGTTTTGGCACACCCCCAAGAGGACAGGTTTCTCTTGCGTGGGATGGCCAGGTGACAGGTCACACAGGAGAGCACAGGGCAGGAAGCACTCAGGGAGGACAGGCACTCTACAGAGAAGCTTGCGGCGCAGGTGTGTCACTGATGTCAAGCAGCCACCTGACTTTAGCTCAATTTAATGCAATAGATAATATTTTGTTTACATTGTTCACATGCGCATCTAGTGTAGTGGTATCATAGTACCCTCCCACGGTACTGACCGGGGTTCGATTCCCCGGATGCGCAACCATATCATGTATAGATTTTTACTGGTCCCCCTTTTTGCTTGGCTCTTCACATTCTTGCCCAGCTCTTGTAGTACCTTGCTGATAGGATTGCGTATCCCTTTCTCTCAGTCCTAGGACCACTAAGGACTTTCACATCACACACAGTGCTCACTTCACCAGACCAGATGTACCACAACCTGCATTCCCCAAACTTGAAACAGCACTCTCACGGGGCCATTCATCCACTGGATTGGCAACCCAACCTCTGATGTACGGTAGCAGCCACAACCTCTCAAGTACGGTACGGTGTCAGCCAAAAGCAGTGAACTCTCCTACCTGCCAATATTCTCCATAAAATACAACAAAAAAGTACCCTAGTCATATAAGCTGATAATTAATACAGTGGAAATCCTTCACAACAGCAGTACCTAAGGCAAAGGGGGCAGCGTCCTAAGCAGGGTATTGTACAAGATGTCCATCCATGAATCCAATGGTCCAGGAGTGCAGTAGTGCAAGCAATCCAGCCGTTGGATCGATGGCTTCCATCCCTTGTGCCCATCCGGCCGTAGAGCCGTCATCGAATCCACATCCATGTACACTATCCCCAGCTCCTCAGCCATTCCACGTGCCATCTCATTCTGCTGACTCAGCTTGTCCCAGTTGTAAGGGAGAATGCTCGGATCCTGCCTTTTCGAAATCGGAACCGTTGCGTTTTCGCAGTCAGCATGGCCGGGCGGGGAGTTGCGGTATATGATCAGCTTCTTGGGCCATCGGTTTCGGAGGTAAGTCATAACCGTTCGCACTTCCGGCTCGAACACTTCGTTCACCGTATAGTGCGCTCCACGGTTAATTATAATAATATCGGAGTGGGCAACTTCCGGCATGCGCGTCCACTGTAGCTCGCTGAAGTGCCTCGGCGCGCCGAGCCACAGGTGGTCGCTTCGGATGAACAAAATCTTCAGGCCCGGGCAAATCTCGTCAGCAAACTCAATGGTCCGGCAAAATTCGTGCCGAATCTCCGTGTTGTTGACCCAGTCAACGCAGAACTTGGGCTTTGACTCCTTAACCGCCCAGTCAGCCGGCTTTGGCACATATCTCAACATCTGGTTGATGAAAATCCCAAAAAACTGCTCGTTCAGGGAATCCCCCAGGAACAGAATCGTCCGATTCTTGCCGACCCTGCTGCAGAAATCAGTCGGCTGAAACGGCACCCAGGCCTGATCCTGAACGGGCATAGGGCAGGTGCCATGCACCCTCCAGTCGTACTTAAGACTCTCCCGTACCGTCCACTTCTCGGGGTCTCCTCCCGACAGAGCATACTCATCAGATTCCTTTTTCATGAGCCCTTGTGTTGCGTCCCAATGCCGGTGGTCGCACAGGTTGATGTTCCCCATGTATTCCCAAGGTAACACGCGGGGAGTCGCGTTGTAATCCCACCGACCCTGCTTCCCAACGCATGTCATCCAATCGTTGAACGCCCGAACCTCCTCCCCGGACCTCAGCTTCGTCCCAATCAGCTTCTGCTTTAGTCCGAACCTGCCACCCGCCGGACCTGCGATGGCTCGGACAGTATCTCTGGTTACCACCTCGCTGGTGTACACGTCGTGCGATACCCTATCCAGCACATCGCGCACGTGCCACATGTCGCAAGATAAGCGGCTGCGCAGCAGCGCGTTCCCATTGGCCGGCTTGGGGTCGGGCTGGGCGGCGCAGAGCAGCAGATAATGCCGAAGCCCGCAAGCCTCTGCGAGCTGCCTGGTGGGCAGATCCGGATCCGCTGCTACAGCTGCTGCCGAGCCTGCTTTCTGGGCGGCATTGGGGTCTAGAACGGCCCGAAGCTCTAGGACCGTGGCGTTGGGTGGCATGAACATGACGTGAGCAAGAGCGGAGGTCGAAGTGGATATGAAGAGAACTGCTCTGTTGAATAAGTCCTTGGCTGTAGGGGATGGGGGGAAGCGATGAGAGAGAGGGGAGGGAGGGAAGAAAGGGAGGGGTGGGTTAGAGAGGGTGGCATGAAGATGATGTGAAGAGAACTGCCCGGTTGAAAAGGTCTTTGGCTGGAAGGGATAGGTAGGGATGGGAGAGGGGGGAGGGATGGACGAGGGGGGGAAAGAGAAGGAAGGGTGGGTTAGAAAAAAGAGGTGGCATTAACATGAGACGAGGAGGGAGGGGTGTGTGGACAATGAGAAGAGGAAGTGGGGTGGGGCCGAGTGGGAGGGAAAGGGGATGGATGCTAATGGGAGGGGAAACGGGGGTGATAAAGAAAACCGAGAGGGGAAGTGAGAGTGGTGGATTGTGAAAAGGGAAGGGGGGTGAGTTGTGGCGACTAGAGAAGGAACATTCTTTTCTCTTTGAGCGTTCATTGTATCACTCCTAAGCGTTCATCAGTATTTTCTCAGTGTCTGGCATTTCTAATCCCTTTCCAACACTCAACGAGGGGATGAAGTTGAATAAAGGAGACATCAACTGGAGGAGAAATTGGGGTGTGGGGCGGTGGGGCATTGTAGGGGTGGGCACTGAAATTCCTAATTATGCGCCTCAAGAGAATATGCTTACCTTCCAGAACATTGAGGTTGTTCTTAAAGAGTACAATCCGGTCCTCCGGATAAAAGAATCGCAGCGCATCCCTGATATATCCTGCCTCCTGCACCCGCCCTGCCACGTCAACACCCACCACCACCACCCAATCCGCCGGCACGCCTCCCTCCAACCCCGCTGCTGACTCAGCATTAGCAAACTCAGCGCCTGTTTCTCGGAAGACTTGCGGGGAATCTCTAGGGAGGAGGTGGTTGGAGCGGAATTGCGTCCATAGAGCCATGCTGGGCTGTCGGCACTGCTGCCGGACGGGTTGGTAGAGTTTTTGCACGAACCACAGGTGGGGTACTCCGGGTTTTACCCCCTGAACTTCGTGATCTGTGACGGGCAGTTTGAGAACTCTATTGGCCACTGCTGATAGGAGCTGCGATGGGGGCAGCAGGGAAGGGGTAGGGGGAAGGCGGAAGGGAGGGAGGGGGAAGGGGGGAAACGGGTAGAGGGAAGAGAAGGTTAGGATGATGCTGAGAATTCTCGAGGGAATTTCCACTATAGCTACAATAAGGCCCTTTCCTTCCTCGCTCTTTCGTTACTTGACCTGACCGTTATCCCTCTCTGGTTCGTCCCTGGATATGTCCTCCTTTCTCTCTATAACCCCTGGGAGAGTAGGAAATTGATTGCAGTTTTCACTTGTTCAGTACCATCCCCTTTCTTTAATCCCCCTACCCTCGTGCTATGCATCAAACATCTCTCAATTTCCCCCCTCCCCTCTCTTACCTTTCTGCTCCGAGCCACTATAATGGCGTCTTTAAGTTGCGGCAGCACCTCCTTAAGCGGCAGCATCATGGGGAGAAGATCCGTGCGCTCGTGGCACAACCTCAGCTCAGCCTTCACTCTTACCTTCCTTTCCCCACTCCCTCTCTCCCTCCCACGCACACTGTCTCCTTCCCCGTCTTTACCTTTCTGCTCCGCGCCACTATAATGGCGTCTTTGAGTTTCGGTAGCACCTCCTTAAGCGGCAGCATCATGGGGAGAAGGTCCGTGAGCTCATGGAATACCTCAGCACGAGGATCTGCCACGTCAGACAGCAGGTTCACCACGTCACGGTGCATGGTAACGTGTGTTCCTGCGGGGTAAGAGACCTGCTCGTGTAAAAGGAAAACAGGAAGGGGGGAGGAAGGGGTGGAAGCAAAAGGGGGAAAGAGAGGGGTGGGCGGGGGGAAAGGAAAGGGAAGGGTCCATAGTAAATAAGTTTTCTCAAAAGGGAAGTTGTTAATTTTCGATTATTTTCTGTTCATTCTTTGGTTCGACCACGATGAAATCATTATTATATTAGAAGTTGGACAGGCGGATGGAGAAGAGAGCGGGAGGGCTGGCGCGAAGAAGGACGAGGAGCAAATAAGATACGGGGAAAGGAGGCAGGAAGGAGGGGAGGGGGAGGGGGAGGGGGAGGGGGGAGGGGGAGGGGGAGGGGGAAGGGGATGGAGAGGGGGATTGGCCGAGGGGCGGGGAGGCGGTAAGGGATAAGGGGAAGGAGAGGGGATGAGGGGAGGATGGGACGTAACAGGGTGAACAAATGTGTTACGGTGAAAGGAGGTTCAACTTACGTTTAATTCGGTGATGCAGCCCGACGGGTCGAACAGATGAGTCTCGTTAAACACCTGCCCGCGCCAGTTCACGTAAACGTTTTCCAGCATAAACACCTGCCCGGCCCATTTCTTCTCCCAGTCTTTAGTCACCCTCATCGTCTCCGTATCGACGGGATCCTGGGGCCCAGGACACCCTGGCCGCAGCAGATCACCTGGAGATTCACCTGAATTCTCCAGGCACAAATCCAGGGGGTTTCCCCTCCCGCGTTTCTGCAGGATATGCAGCTGCCGCCTCTGATCCGCGACGGTTCCCGGGCCGCGGAACGGATCCACATATTGGGGGTTCCAGCAGGCTTTAAGCGACGGGAATCTAACCCCGCAGCCCTTAAATTCCGGGCATTGACCGCCGTGACACTTGGCCTGCGGAGCGCCGTCGTATTCTGGTGAAGGCGTCTGAAATTCGTGGAAATAGTCGAGAGGGACGCGAGTTAAGGAGGTAAGATAAAGCGGCTTCTCGAGCTGGCGCGAGGCGGTTGGGGTGTAAGCCTTGAGAGAACGCCGCTGCTGAATAGCGTTTCCCGCTGCCGCGAGCGATCGCGAGGAGGTGGGATTGAATCTACTGAGAGATTGGCGGATTCTGGACGATAGAGCCTGCGCGAGGCTCTCGCGCGATGCGGCTTCGCCGATCAGAGGCTGACACGTGGCGAAGGTGAGGAGAAACAAGAGAAAGGCAGAGGGGGATCCATGAAGGGAGAACCCCATGATGGTCAGGTACGGAATTTGAGGCGTCTTCGAGCCTGAGACGTCTCAGAAATCGAACCTGCGACGTCCCGAGATAGGCAGAGACGAATATGTATGTCACGCGTTATTCGCGTTCGCACAGAATTGATGGATTGCGCGAGCTAGCAGCAGAATCAGCCGGCCTTCCCTAGCTTCCCTGAGCTGTTTGGTAGAAAGACCGCAGAATCATTCTGGTCAACGAGAACGCATTGATATAGCCGAATGGTACTGCCGCTGAAAGAGCAAGGAGGCTAGAGATGGTAGCAAAAGCAGAAGCACATATTCCTACCGGCCAGACCGGCTATGTCAACCATCAAGCAAGTTCGACGGGAATAAAATGAACACACATGAAATGTTACGAAGAAATACAACAGCTGTATTTCAATTCAAGTGAAGACTTCTAGGTTGGTTGGAAGTGGAGAGAAATGGAGTGTGGGTGGGGTGGGGGGAGGCGTGATGGCTTGGGTGGGTTGGGTGGTTGGTTGCAGCTGTGGGTGGAAGGGGGGGAGGCTGGTGGCGGCGGAGGGCGGAGGGGGAAGTGGTTGCGGAGAATCTCCGAGGAGAACTGTGAAATGCAGGAGCGAATCCCGAGGCTGCATCTCCTCGATGTTCCCGTGGCGCCTCGAGTTTTCCACCAGTGGTGGTGAGGCAAACTAGGGGGAGGAAACCAACCAACCAACCAACCAGCTTGCGCTTCCGCTAAGGGGGAATGTTCGCGTGGTTGGGCTTGCGCGCGGAAGAATGAGTGCTGTACACGATAGGTGGGCATTTCAAATGAAGCTGAGCCAATTGATTCAGCCGTCCGTTACCGGGGCGCGCATCAGGTGCGCTGTCGGCCAGGGACACCTGGCAGACCCTGCGGCGTGAGGTGGAACCTGAGGCCTGCTGACTAGGGTGGGTGGTGGTCATACAGAAAATATTACGGGGCTGTACCATACTAAATGGGCTGCCTGTACAGAAGAATATATTCGCGATATTACTTCGACATTTGGAAAAGCTGAGTGCACACTGGGTTGTTATCGGTATAAAGTGGACAAGCTGAGACCTTTTGTCACACGCCACCACACCTGATACCGAAGTCAGCAGAGGATCAATCAAAATAAAAATATAAGACTCAAGTGTAAAATAGTCCTGCAAAACAATTCAAGAAAATATTCACAAAAAAAAAGTGCCATTTCTTCCGTGCTGTTTCTGCACACCCCTCTTTCCTTGCTGCTGCCAGCCTACTACTGGCTATTGCCCCTGGCCAGGAGGAGATCCCAGGGACTCTTTTCCTGCCAAACCGCCTGAAAGGGCCCCTGGCATAACACCTGGAGGTGCATGGGAAGCTTTCGACATTGAAAGCATGTACATCCCGCTTCCTCCTGCTTGTGAAGAAAATATATAAAACCCCGCTCCCCTACCCCCTCTGACTACTGTAGACAGGCAGATTTCGATCACTATAATCACGATCCAGGTCACCTGCCACTGATCCTGTGGCTGAGCTGGCGCCCGACGCCCATTTCCGAGGCTTGCGATAGGCTGCTGCTGCCACGTTGGAAAATACAGCAGTGTAGCCCACACCACCATCACCCCCACTCTCATCCTCACTATACCCCAACGGACCAGGCATAGCTCCTCCGCCTTTTCTAAGCGTGGCCACTGCTTGTGCTGCTACCACTGCTGCTGCCTCTTCAGCTGCAGGTCTCACATTCGAAAATGGCAGTGGAGGAACCACCGCCCCCGGACCCCCCATATGCCCACTCCCACCGCCCCGCTCACTCCCACCCCGGCTCCCAAACGCCCCTGCACGCGCCACCGCCCCTCTGTGTGAATGAGACGGGGAATGCCACCCTCTCGAGCCCGAATTCCCCGAAGAGTGCGTTGACGAGCTGTACCCAGACGCCCGCCCCTCGTCCTCATCATCCTCCTCCTCAATCACCCCGAAACCCTTAGCCGACCGGATCGAACCCGCCTCAGAACCACCTATCTGCGACCCTGCTAAACCGTCGTGGTGTTTTCCGTGCCGGAGCCTTTCGGCTCGCTTGCTAGCAGCTAGGTTGGAAAATATCATGGTTATTCCTGCTCCTCCGGAACCTTCTTCTGTTGCAAGGGTTGACTCGAAGGGCAGGAGCGGTCCCGGGGGGTGGAATGCGGTTGCAGCTGCTAGAGCGGTTGCTGCTGCAGCGGCAGCAGCAGGAGATGTGGTAGCAGCCGCAGCAGCAGCCAGTGCGGGGGTTGCAGAGGGAGGAGCAGCAGTGGGAGGTGAGAGGGGACCTGGGTCGTTCTTGTGAGATTGATGCTTGGATCCCCATTTGAATGCATGAGCCAGCATGCCTCCCACTCCCTGCCGCTTCTTCTTTCCACCTGCGTCCTCTGCTCCAAACGCATCCACACCAGCGGCAGCACCAGCAGCAGCACTAGCAGCAGCGCCAGCACCAGCACTAGCAGCAGCAGCACTAGAAGCTGCATCAGCATCAGCACCAATATGATACCCGTGGCCTGCATCCCCGTCTATACTGGACCGAGTCGAGCTAGCGGTCAGCGACGCCCGTTCCAAAGCCTCCTCCAACGACTCGCACGGCAGGCCGAACGTGGTAACCATCCCATAACCGTACTCGCCAACGCTCGACACATTACTGTTACCAACACTACTGCCCCACGTGCTGGTTGAAACAGAGGAGGCGCCATAGGGGCGGATAACAGAGCTGGAGGCGTTGGTGGTGGTGGTGGCAAGAGAGGCGTTAGAGGGAGGGATGGTGGTGCAGCTTTCAGTGGAAGAAGGGATCACTGTGCTGCTTCCCTTGGGATCGGGGCCTTTCGACGGGGTGAAGCTTGCAGGGGGGATACGATACTGCAGCCAGTTCCCACCAGGAGGGGCGATCCCAGGCGCAGGCTGCTTCTGAGGCGCCTCAGAAGTGCCTTCTGACTGGTTGAAGCTTGCTGGGGGGATCTGGTGCTGCACCCAGGTCCCAGCAGGAAGGGGGATTTCAGGTGGGGCGTTGAGAGGGCGGGGGATGGCAGGGTGGGGGATGGAGGTGTGAGGGATGGAAGGGTGAGGGATGGAGGGGTGAGGGATGGAGGGGTGAGGGATGGGAGGATGGGGGATGGCTGGATGCGGAGTGGCAGTAGCAGAAACACGAGCAGCACGAGCACCAGCAGCACCAGCCGCAACACCAGCACCACCAGCAGCACTAGCAGCCCGCGCAATAGCTTCATCCAAGCTCTCATCCGCCTTCCCCATTCCCCCCAGCTCCTCACGCATCCCCCTCACTGCCGCCCCCATGCCTGCATCATCCCCTCCCGCTGCTGCCCCCATGCCCGCGGATCCCACAATAGAAGCCCGCGCAATAGCCTTTTCCAAGCTCTCATCCGCCTTCCCCATCCCCCCTAACTCCTCACGCATCCCCCTCACTGCCGCCCCCATGCCTGCATCAACCCCTCCCGCTGCTGCCCCCATGCCCGCGGATCCCACAATAGAAGCCCGCGCAATAGCCTCTTCCAAGGTCTCATCCGCCTTCCCCATCCCCCCTAACTCCTCGCGCATCCCCCTCACTGCCGCCCCCATGCCCGCATCACCCCCTTTCACTGCCGCCCCCACGCCCGCATCACCCCCTTTCACTGCCGCCCCCATGCCCGCATCACCCCCTTTCACTGCCGCCCCCATGCCCGCATCCTCCCCCCGCCCCCCCCCCCTGCACCCTTCTGGCGGACGGATAATCCCCGGGCGCGTTTGCAAGGGAGTAACCCGCATATTCACAAGGCGTAAGGGAATTCTCATGAGCAGTGGAGGCATAGGGCATACCTCCTCCGGATGCATACGGGTAGAGATTGCTGGCTCGAGCAGAAGCAGCATCAGCCACGCCAGCATCATTCCCACGCCCTGCTAACCCCATGCCCGCGAGGGAACTACAATGAGCAGAGGAGGCATAGGGCATACCTCCAGATGCATACGGTTTGCCTGCTCGGGCAGAAGCAGCATCAGCCACGCCAACAGCGCGGCCAATGGCGTCTTCTAAGCTCTCTCCCCCCTTCCTCCCATCTGCAGATGCGTGGGGGCGACTTGCAGAAGCAGCGTCAGCCATACCAATTGCACAGGCAATGGCGTCTTCTAAGCTCTCTCCTGCCTTCCCCATGTTCGCCCGCTGCTCCCGCATCTCCTGCACTGCTGTATCCAACGATACCTCCCTCCTCCCAGCCCAACCCGCAGAACCAGCAGACCCAGCAGACCCAGCAGACCCAGCATAACCACCAGCAGAACCAGCAGAACCGCCAGCAGGAGCAGCAGACCTAGCAGGAGCAGCGGAAGCAGCACCAGCCATACCGATTGCGCAGGCAATGGCGTCTTCTAAGCTCTCTCCTGCCTTCCCCATGTTCGCCCGCTGCTCCCGCATCTCCTGCACTGCTGTATCCAACGATACCTCCCTCCTCCCAGCCCAACCCGCAGAACCAGCAGACCCAGCAGACCCAGCATAACCACCAGCAGAACCAGCAGAACCGCCAGCAGGAGCAGCAGACCTAGCAGGAGCAGCGGAAGCAGCACCAGCCATACCGATTGCGCAGGCAATGGCGTCTTCTAAGCTCTCTCCTGCCTTCCCCATGTTCGCACGCTGCTCCCGCATCTCCTGCACTGCCGTATCCAATGATACCTCCCTCCTCCCAGCCCAACCCGCAGAACCAGCAGAACCAGCAGGAGCAGCCACAGCAGGCGCAGCAGCAGGCGCACGGGTACCCCCATCTGCCCCTCTCCCCCCCCCCACACCCAGCTCCAGAAGTCTTCTCAGCACATGCGACGGTGGCAGCAGCAGCAGCGCGGGCAATAGCCTCATCCAGGGACTCTGTCGGTCGGCTGAGGTTAGAAAATTGCCGCGTCACGCCCGTACAGACAGCTCCCTGCGACCCTGCACCGGACGACCCCATAGAGCTCATTGTGCCTCCTAAGCTGAGAAGGCCAGAGTCCATGAATGAGTTGCCATCGTAGCGATAGTCGTCTGGGAACTCGGGGTCTGGGTCAAGATCGGCTGGTGCTCGTGCTGCGGCAACATCAGGCGCCCCAGAAGCAGGCACAGCAGAAGCAGCAGGCGCAGCAGGCGCAGCAGGAGCAGCAGGCGCAGCAGGCGCGCGGGCCACCCCACCTGCGCCCCTTCCCCCCCCACACCCAGCCCCAGAAGCGTTCCCAGCACAGGTGGTGACAGCAGCAGCAGCAGCGCGAGCAATGGCCTCGTCCAGCGACTCTGTCGGTCGGCTGAGATTAGAAAATTGCCGCGTCACGCCCGTACAGACAGCTCCCTGCGACCCTGCATACCCTCCCCCAGACGCCCCCATGGAGCTCATCGTACCTCCTAAGCTGAGAAGGCCAGAGTCCATGAATGAGTTGCCATCGTAGCGGTAGTCGTCTGGGAACTGGGGGTCTGGGTCGAGATCGGCTAAGGCTGGGTTGAGCTGTGCGTATGCTGAGAGGGGTTCTGGGTTCGCGGGTTGCAGGTGGGGGGAGGGAGTGGCGGCGGCAGAATTGGCAGCGGCGCTACCTGCACCAGCAGCAGCACCAGCAGCGGCAGCAGCAGCAGCGCGGAGAATGGCGTCTTCAAGGCTCTCATCCGCCTGACCTAAGCTAGCCAGCTCCTCTTTCATCCGCCTCACGGCTGCATCCATGCGCGGGTCACCCGTACTGCCCCCACCCCCACTCCCCCCACCCCCACTGCCCCCACCCCCACCGCCCCCACCGCCCCCACCCCCACTGCCCCCACCCCCATTGTTCCCAGCCCCAAAGTCGCCGGCAGCAGCAGCAGCGCGGGCAATGGCGTCTTCCAGGCTCTCATCCGCCCGACCTAGGCCAGCCAGCTCCTCTTTCATCCGCCTCACGGCAGCATCCATGCGCGGGTCACTGCTCCCGCTCCCACTGCCCCCACCCCTACGCGAACCATCAGAAGCGTGAGAGGGAGCACCAGCCACAGCACTATCAGCACTGCCAGCAGCAGCAGCAGCGCGGGCAATGGCGTCGTCAAGGCTCTCATCCGCATGTCCTAACCCAGCCAGCTCCTCTTTCATCCGCCTCACGGCTGCATCCATGCGCGGGTCACCCCTACTGCCCCCAGCCCCACGCGAACCCTCAGAAGCGTGAGAGCGAACACCAACAACGCCTTCAGGAGCACCAGCAGCACCACTACCGGCAGCAGCAGCAGCGCGGGCAATGGCGTCGTCAAGGCTCTCATCCGCCTGACCTAAGCCAGCCAGCTCCTCTTTCATCCGTCTCACGGCTGCATCCATGCGCGGGTCACTGCTCCCACCGCTACTTCCCCCAACCCCACTCCCCTCAGCCCCACGCGGACCCCCAGAAGCGTGCGAGCTAGCCCCATAAACAGTAGCGCCAGCAGCACCAGCAGCCCGCGCAATGGCATCGTCCAAGCTCTCATCCGCCTGCCCCATTCCCGCCAGCTCCTCGCGCATCCTTCTCACTGCTGCATCCATGAAATCGTCAGACTTGCCGGTGCCACGAGACGCTCCACTCGCGTGCGCGTTACCCGCAGGCGCGCGGGAATCCCCCGCGGATGGCGCGCAGGCGTCGCGCGCGGATGGCGCGCAAGAAGTACCCGCGGAACCCGCGTTAGCAGCCCGCGCAATGGCTTCTTCCAGGCTCTCTTCCGCCTTCCCCATCGACGCGAGCTCGTCTCTCATACGCTGAATCGCAGCGTCCATAAACGCGTCATTCCTGCCTCCGCTAGAAGCTACCGTCTCGTCTGGCACGGAGCTGAGGCTCGTCTCCGAAGCTGCCTCCGTGGCTCGGGCGAGGGCGTCTTCCAGAGACATAGACGGCGTTGCCATAAGCGAAAAGTCCGAGGTATACCCGCCGCTTAAAGACTCCATATCCATTACCGAATTCCCGTCGTATCGGTAATCCTCGGGAAACTCGGGGTCAGGGTCGGGGTCGACTTGAGCAGAAGCTGACGGGGATGAGCGGGAAAAGGCGGGAACCATGGCCGCGAAAGGCCTGGCCAGGCGAGATCTTAAAGAGGTTCGTTGCGATGAGGAGGAGGCTTGAATGGGTGACGAGGCGTTTGGATGTTCTGCTGAGTTGGTCAAGGACTTGGTGCCAGACGATTTGCCGCCAGACGGGTTGTTGCCTGGACTGCTGCTGCGCCAGTTGCTGCTGTTAGGCTTGCTCGTGCTTTGTTTGCTGCTTCTCGGTTTGTTGCTGCTAGGATCGCCGGTACCAGTTCTTTCCTCAAATGCTGGCACTTCGATACGCGCTAACGCGTCTTCTAGCGAGTCCGTTGGCCTTCCGTAGCGGCCTTGTAGTTCCGCCGCCACGCCTTCGCGAGTATGGCTGGAAGAGGACATTGTAAGTCTTTAATTACTGTGATTAATAATTTACAAAGGAGGGCATTGAAATTCTAGTACCACTCGTTTGATGAGCTCTAGTGAGTGACGATTCCTTTCGGTAAACAGGAATGGCTCCACCACTTTTTTGGAAAGCGAAAAAAATAGCCTGCACTGTCGTGACCGTGAAAATACTTCAGGTAAGTCTATCTTGAAACAACTACGGATGCTATGCTATGGCTCGACAAGAAAGTGCGGGACGCGTGCTTTCTGGCAACGAAGGAGCAACGCAGCTGACGCAACTCAGACAGCCTAGTCAGATAGAAAAGGCTACTTCCCGTTTGACCTTAGTGACCGCGACATCATCTTGTGGAACTCTCTAGGGGTTAAGGCTGGTGCAAGGCGAAACGTCGAGCCTGATTGGTCCAGGACAATTCCAATGGTTCTTGGGACTAGCTGAAACCACTTTGATGACGAATCAAAGGATGACAAACCCAATGCCGAGGGGGATTAGGGGGAGATGATCTGGATGTGGCGGGCGGAACGCGTGGAATCGATAGGGGGAATGAGTGCGGGAGCGGGGGATTTGAAAATGGTGATCCGCGGGAACAGCGGGAATGTTCCCGCAGTGTGCCTGACCAGTGAAGAGGTGGCGGAGTTGGCTTGGGGTGGCGCGTCAACATCAGTGATTTGCAAGGGATGAGGTTGCTTGCCCGTTTTGCCTCCCTCTCCACCAGCCACCACGGCACGGCCCCGAACCGAATCCCAAGAAGGGAAACCAGTCTCCGCAACAGCCGAAAGGCTGGACGGAGTTCTGGGATTCGTTCAATTCGATCAGAACCGTAGGTACGGAGTCCGAACCAATTGCCCCCTTTCCCAACGATTTCCCAAGCGTGTAGGCCTTCTTGCACGTCGCAACGCCAGGCGGCTGTTGCTGACGGGGGGGGTCTCGGTGGCATGTTGGACTGTCGCTTGACAGCTGTGCGTGGGCCTGCGATGCCATGACGTCAAAGTGAGAAATCGTACAAGCCGCTTCGTTCGTTGGCGAAATGCGTTATAGCCAGCTAGCGATGTTGTTTGGTTCCGTGTCGGTGAACGACGTCCTTGTGGCCGGGGCACGGAAAGTCAATGGAGTCTGGCCTGGGCTGCCCAAATTGAGAATGGCATGCCAAGTAGGTTTGGCATGTACCCCTTACAAAAGCGGCTTGCTGTACCTTCATCACCTACACTGCTAGAACGATAACTAATCATCAAAATCCTGAAGTTTAGTGCATATACTTCTGCACAATAGCCCTCAATAGTGCATCTGAATGATGAGACTCCCATGTTGTAAAAATTATGGCATTATGTCTTCATTTAACAACTTCTTGACATCCAACATTATAATGTATAAAATGTTGTATTCCAATCAAGATTTCGAGATGGATGGAATATCAGCATGATAATTGACCCTATAATTAGGGTAATCCAAGGTGTGGATCTTGTTGTGCTTCCCAAGCGGGGTGTCAAGCCCCATTGCTGCACGATACTCCACCTGAAGTCAGAAGATTGTGATTCAAACCAAAAGTGCCCGTGCCATCATACAAGCAATGAAATCCAAATGTTATGCACCATGATAAGCAGAAGAAGAAACAAAATTAAATAATGGTGCAAGAATACCATAGGTGGAATTAACATATTAATGGTGTAATACAATGTAAAGGGTGTAGAATGCTAGAATGACTTACCTCAATGGGTTTCCCTTTCACATCTGTGATTTGTGGATCCATGTATTGAGGCTGCTGCTCGGTTAAAGCTCGGCGAAGCGAAGGCAACTCAACTGTTGTAGGGACTCCATCTGAACAGGTGATGATGTGAATAACGGGGATAAACGTTAGTGAGAAGGTAAGGTGTTGTTCTGCAATCTCAGAAAAAAAAGGACAAATCCTTCACAAGATGCATGGGATAAAATTCGATAATCGGGAGGCACCGGTGGAAACACGTGAGAATGAGAACAACAAGAGTAGTTTTGAGGCGCCTCAAAACTATAAGAATGATAAGAGCAAGAGTACCTGAGAGCAAAAGCCGCCCATTGACCCACACTGAATGCACCGTGTTGCCTGCAATGCCAGAACTGGGTAATCGAAGTGGAGAGAGGGAGGTGGAGGAGGAGGAGTGGGGGGAGAGCGGAAGAGTCGCGGGGGGGGGGGGGAGGGGGGGGGGGTTGATTGAAAGAGAGACCTACAGTGAATGCACAGTGTTGCCTGCAATGCCAGAACTGGGAAATAAAATCCACGAGAGGGTGTGCGGTGTGGGGAGAGGGGTTGGGTTGGGGGGGGATGGTGGGATGGGAGGGAAGAGAGAGAAAAAAGGTGATGCGGAAATGGGGAAGGAAAGAGGGACAGGTAGTAAATAATGGAAAAGGAGAGCCAGAGGAGAGCAGTCAAATCAAGCAGCAGTCCAATCTGCCTGCACAACATCATCGCCTGCACAGCATCATCGTCGCATAGCCAGGCCACGTGAAAGAAGAGTGTTTTTGAGTCGTCTCAAAAACACTCTTCTTTCAAGCAGCAGCCCAATCTGCCTGCACAGCATCATCGCCTGCACAGCATCATCGCATGCACAGCATCATCGCCTGCACAGCATCATCGCATGCACAGCATCATCGCCTGCACAGCATCATCGCCTGCACAGCATCATCGCCTGCACAGCATCATCGCCTGCACAGCATCATTGCCTGCACAGCATCATTGCCTGCACAGCATCATGGCCTGCACAGCATCATCGCCTGCATAACCGGGCCAGACCACCTGCTCCTGCTCGCATCTCCTCTCATAACCACATTTGAGGAGCCTAAAAAAAGTCTCCTGCTTCTGCTCGCCTGTCCTCTCATGCCCACCCACACCACCTCACTCACCCGCCCATGCCCTCCCTCTTACCTTAGCCCTCCCAATAATCTTCTCAATATTCCTCCCTCCCTCTGTACCTTTGTCTGGTGAGCACCAGTTGCCCCACAGGGTCGGCTGGAGGCAGCAAGGAAAGAGCAGTCAGGTCCTCCAACACAGCATCCGCCACTGCTGTCTATGCTGCCTCTATGCTGCCTCTCCACCACAGCCTCATCCACCCAAGCCACCTCACTCACCCGCCCATGCCCTCTCACCTTTGTCTGGTGAGCACCAGTTGCCCCACAGGGTCGGCTCGAGGCAGCATGGAGAGGGCAGTCAGATCAACCAACACAGCATCCGCCACATAGCCGGGCTTTACTTTCGGCCCTGCTCGCCCTGCTCGCCTTGTGAGGCGTCTCAAAAGCCACATAGCCGGGCTTTATTTTCGCCTCTGCTCGCCTTGCGCTCTAGAAGCACCTCTGCAAGAGATGAGATGTTTTTTGAGTCGACTAAAAAATCGTCTCATCACACGTAGCCCAGTCTTGATCGCCCCTGCTCGCCCTTGCGCTCTAGAAGCACCTCTGCAAGAGACTTCCTCACCAGCATTCCCCATCAGCCCTCCCGCCCTCTCACCTTTGTCTGGTGAGCACCAGTTGCCCCACAGGGTCGGCTCGAGGCAGCATGGAGAGGGCAGTCAGGTCCACCAGCACAGCATCCGCCACGTAGCCGGGCTTGATTTGACCCGCCCGCCCTTTCATGCCCACTGCGACCGCCCCTCCCTCTGCTGCCATTCTGAGCACCTCCCTCGGGGACAACCAGTGGCGATACTCAGGGGTTGTGAGCTGCGGTGAGAGGAAATGTATTCAGGGAAGGAAGTAGGAGAGAAGAGGGACAAGAGGAAGGCAGTTGATAGAAGGCGAGAGCTTCTTGGATATATATATATATATATATATATATAGATATGTATGTAGATATATATGTATGTATAAGCATGTACACTACGCTTTAGTTACCATACATACATGCACATTATATACACTGCATCTACACTGCACGTATTGCTTACTCTCGGGATTGACGATACACGCCATCTTCAGGGCTTCTAGCATGTCCTGCAAGTCGTTTGAGCACTGCCCATCGCCACCCTATCTCTGTGACTAGTGCATGTGTGGACACATACTCACAGGGTTGACAAGACAATACACGCCATCTTCAGGGCTTCTAGCATGTCCTGAGAGTCGTTCGAGCACTGCCCATCGCACCCGATAGGCATAACCATCGCACCCATTTGCCTGCCTGCTTCTCCTGTTAGATTGTAAAAGCATCTGCATACTCACGGGATTCACACCACATTCCATCTTCACGGCTTCCAGCATGTCCTGAGAGTCGATCCAGCACTGCCCATCAGTGCGTGGTCGGTCAGTCTGTTATTAGTAAACAGGTGGGCTGCGGAGGTCTGATGGCACTGCCCATCAGTGTGTGGTCGGTCAGTCTGTTATTAGTAAACAGGTGGGCTGCGGAGGTCTGATGGCACTGCCCATCAGTGTGTGGTCGGTCAGTCTGTTATTAGTAAACAGGTGGGCTGCGGAGGTCTGATGGCACTGCCCATCAGTGTGTGGTCGGTCAGTCTGTTATTAGTAAACAGGTGGGCTGCGGAGGTCTGATGGCACTGCCCATCAGTGTGTGGTCGGTCAGTCTGTTATTAGTAAACAGGTGGGCTGCGGAGGTCTGATGGCACTGCCCATCAGTGTGTGGTCGGTCAGTCTGTTATTAGTAAACAGGTGGGCTGCGGAGGTCTGATGGCACTGCCCATCAGTGTGTGGTCGGTCAGTCTGTTATTAGTAAACAGGTGGGCTGCGGAGGTCTGATGGCACTGCCCATCAGTGTGTGGTCGGTCAGTCTGTTATTAGTAAACAGGTGGGCTGCGGAGGTCTGATGGCACTGCCCATCAGTGTGTGGTCGGTCAGTCTGTTATTAGTAAACAGGTGGGCTGCGGAGGTCTGATGGCACTGCCCATCAGTGTGTGGTCGGTCAGTCTGTTATTAGTAAACAGGTGGGCTGCGGAGGTCTGATGGCACTGCCCATCAGTGTGTGGTCGGTCAGTCTGTTATTAGTAAACAGGTGGGCTGCGGAGGTCTGATGGCACTGCCCATCAGTGTGTGGTCGGTCAGTCTGTTATTAGTAAACAGGTGGGCTGCGGAGGTCTGATGGCACTGCCCATCAGTGTGTGGTCGGTCAGTCTGTTATTAGTAAACAGGTGGGCTGCGGAGGTCTGATGGCACTGCCCATCAGTGTGTGGTCGGTCAGTCTGTTATTAGTAAACAGGTGGGCTGCGGAGGTCTGATGGCACTGCCCATCAGTGTGTGGTCGGTCAGTCTGTTATTAGTAAACAGGTGGGCTGCGGAGGTCTGATGGCACTGCCCATCAGTGTGTGGTCGGTCAGTCTGTTATTAGTAAACAGGTGGGCTGCGGAGGTCTGATGGCACTGCCCATCAGTGTGTGGTCGGTCAGTCTGTTATTAGTAAACAGGTGGGCTGCGGAGGTCTGATGGCACTGCCCATCAGTGTGTGGTCGGTCAGTCTGTTATTAGTAAACAGGTGGGCTGCGGAGGTCTGATGGCACTGCCCATCAGTGTGTGGTCGGTCAGTCTGTTATTAGTAAACAGGTGGGCTGCGGAGGTCTGATGGCACTGCCCATCAGTGTGTGGTCGGTCAGTCTGTTATTAGTAAACAGGTGGGCTGCGGAGGTCTGATGGCACTGCCCATCAGTGTGTGGTCGGTCAGTCAGTTATTAGTAAACAGGTGGGCTGCGGAGGTCTGATGGCACTGCCCATCAGTGTGTGGTCGGTCAGTCTGTTATTAGTAAACAGGTGGGCTGCGGAGGTCTGATGGCACTGCCCATCAGTGTGTGGTCGGTCAGTCTGTTATTAGTAAACAGGTGGGCTGCGGAGGTCTGATGGCACTGCCCATCAGTGTGTGGTCGGTCAGTCTGTTATTAGTAAACAGGTGGGCTGCGGAGGTCTGATGGCACTGCCCATCAGTGTGTGGTCGGTCAGTCTGTTATTAGTAAACAGGTGGGCTGCGGAGGTCTGATGGCACTGCCCATCAGTGTGTGGTCGGTCAGTCTGTTATTAGTAAACAGGTGGGCTGTGGAGGTCTGATGGCACTGCCCATCAGTGTGTGGTCGGTCAGTCTGTTATTAGTAAACAGGTGGGCTGCGGAGGTCTGATGGCACTGCCCATCAGTGTGTGGTCGGTCAGTCTGTTATTAGTAAACAGGTGGGCTGCGGAGGTCTGATGGCACTGCCCATCAGTGTGTGGTCGGTCAGTCTGTTATTAGTAAACAGGTGGGCTGCGGAGGTCTGATGGCACTGCCCATCAGTGTGTGGTCGGTCAGTCAGTTATTAGTTAACAGGTGGGCTGCGGAGGTCTGATGGCACTGCCCATCAGTGTGTGGTCGGTCAGTCTGTTATTAGTAAACAGGTGGGCTGCGGAGGTCTGATGGCACTGCCCATCAGTATGTGGTCGGTCAGTCTGTTATTAGTAAACAGGTGGGCTGCGGAGGTCTGATGGCACTGCCCATCAGTGTGTGGTCGGTCAGTCTGTTATTAGTAAACAGGTGGGCTGCGGAGGTCTGATGGCACTGCCCATCAGTGTGTGGTCGGTCAGTCTGTTATTAGTAAACAGGTGGGCTGCGGAGGTCTGATGGCACTGCCCATCAGTGTGTGGTCGGTCAGTCTGTTATTAGTAAACAGGTGGGCTACGGAGGTCTGATGGCACTGCCCATCAGTGTGTGGTCGGTCAGTCTGTTATTAGTAAACAGGTGGGCTGCGGAGGTCTGATGGCACTGCCCATCAGTGTGTGGTCGGTCAGTCTGTTATTAGTAAACAGGTGGGCTGCGGAGGTCTGATGGCACTGCCCATCAGTGTGTGGTCGGTCAGTCTGTTATTTGTAAACAGGTGGGCTGCAGAGGTCTGATGGCACTGCCCATCAGTGTGTGGTCGGTCAGTCAGTTATTTGTAAACAGGTGGGCTGCGGAGGTCTGATGGCACTGCCCATCAGTGTGTGGTCGGTCAGTCTGCTATTAGTCAACAGGTGGGCTGCGGAGGTCTGATGGCACTGCCCATCAGTGTGTGGTCGGTCAGTCTGCTATTAGTATACAGGTGGGCTGCGGAGGTCTGATGGCACTGCCCATCAGTGTGTGGTCGGTCAGTCTGCTATTAGTATACAGGTGGGCTGCGGAGGTCTGATGGCCCTGCCCATCAGTGTGTGGTCGGTCAGTCTGTTATTAGTAAACAGGTGGGCTGCGGAGGTCTGATGGCACTGCCCATCAGTGTGTGGTCGGTCAGTCTGCCTGCACATATGGTTACTCACAGGGTTGACAATGCACGCCATCTTCACGGCTTCAAGCATGTCCTGAGAGTCGTTGGAGCACTGCCCGTCGCACCCGATAGCCACGGTTATGCCCTTATCGAGGTACGCTCTTATGGGAGCAACGCCCGAGCCGAGGCGAAGGTTGGAGACGGGGTTGTGCACGGCCACTGCGCCACACTCCGCCATGATTGCTTGCTCCTCGTCCTCCTGAAAAAGAGGTACGTACACGAGGGGGGGAAGTCAAAATGGAAGCAGGCACATGGAAATTGGAATAGGGGCAATGGCAGAGCCGAGACGGATGTTGGAGACGGGGTTATGCACGGCCACTGCCCCACACTCCGCCATGATGGCTTGCTCCTCCTCCTCCTCCTGGGAATTGAATATGAGAGGAGACTGAATAGAAGCAAGCAGGCATATGGGATTGGAGCAATGGCAGAGCTGAGCCGGAGGTTGGAGACTGGGTTATGGACGGAGAGTCGGCAGAGCCGAGCTGGAGGTTAGGGAAAGTGTGCAGGTGGGATCGAGTGATGGCGAGAGTGAGTGATGGTGGGAGTGAGTGATGGTGGGAGTGAGTGATGGTGGAAGTGAGATGTGATGGGATGGGACGACATGTGCTTATTAGACCCAGCTCACCAACTACAAGGCGTGTGCTGTGCTTATTAGCCCCACACACCATCCATCCAACTCACCAGCCACACGCAGTGAGCACAGGAGGTCCCAAGGAGGGACAGCCATCCGATGTCTTTCAGAAGCTTCACACACCCGCCGTCCGGGTAGCGCGATCGGCTCTGCAGCCTGAATAGACGGATGGGGGAATGGGAGAAGGAAGGAGGAGAAGAAATATTATCAGGGCAGCTCAAAAGGAGGTGAAGGGGAGGAAGGAAGGAGGTGTGTATGCTTGGTGGTGTGTGCAGGATGTTAATGTTAACCCTCAATCTCACATTTGTGTAGTTTGCACTTTTTTGAGAATTCTAAAAAAATAACGCACTTTGTGTTTGGTTGGGTGTACACCCACATCCCAACCAAACCCAAATGTGATCTCCAAACAATCTCCAACCCACCAATTGGAGATTGCCTTGGGATTACCCCCAATCCCCTAGGATTGCCCATTATTCTCTCCCCACCCTTACCTTGCCCATTTCCAATGTACTTAAAGAGCCTTGAGCTCATTACTAATGCATGGATTCTAAGCTCAAGTTCTGACACAGGATACTGTTGCACTTTCTCCTCTCTGCTCTTTGCTCACTTTTGCATCCGTGATTCCAGCAAGTGGATGTGACCGCACAGCCCAAACTCCTTTCGGATGTCCACTGCCCTCCGGATCAGCTCGTCCTGAGGTGAGAAGAGAGCGATGGGTGCGGCATAGGGATGGGTTATGGGAGGGATGCAACAAGGCTTTGTGAGTCAATGCAAGTCAGCGCGAGTCAATACAAGTCAGCGCGAGTCAATGCAAGTCAACATGAGTCAATGCAAGTCAGCATGAGTCAATGCAAGTCAACACAAGTCAACAGGAGTCAACTCACAGAAGCACCCCAGTTCTGCACGGGACCAATCACAATGTTGATGCCGCCCTCTGGGTCGTGAAACTTCTGCGCAGCTTCCCTCCAGAGGGAAAGGACCCTCTCGGTGTTGGCCTCCTGTAGAGAGACGAGGGAGGAGGGAAGGAGGGGAGAAGAGGATTCGAGGATGGGAGGAGGGGCGGATGGGAGGAGGGGAGGAGGGGAGGAGGGTAAAAGGGGAGGAGGGGATTCAAAAGTCACCCCACTGAAGCCTCACCTGTCGCTCTGCCAGTTGCTCCCTGAAAAGGCCATCGCTCCACACGGCTCCTCCAGAGCAATTGCAGCAACAGCCAAACAAACAAACACCCCTCCTCCGCCCCAAGTCTTGATCCTTTTGCTTAAGCGATTTCTCTAGGTTTGCTGCTACTACCAATATGAACTTGGATCCTCCAGAGCAATTGCACAGCAGCAGCAACAGCCAAACACCCCTCCTCCGCCCCAACACTGCACACCCACCTGCCGCTCAGCCAGTTGCTCCCTGAAATAACCGTCAGTACCCATGGCGCCCGGGCACACCCCGTCCTGCCTCGCCCTCTCGTTGCGCTCGCAGGCGTCCGGCACCAAGGGGAAGTAGTTCTGGTAATGGGGGAAGGGGGAGGAGAGAAGTGGGGAGGAACGGGGGGGAAGGGTTGTCAGCACGGGGTGCAGCACCATCTCTTGTACTGCAAGGGCACGCCCCCTCCCCCCTCGCCCTCTCGTTGCGCTCGCAGGCATCTGGCACCAAGGGAAAGTAGTTCTGGTGGGGGGGGGAAGGAGAAGGGTGGGAGGTGCGGAGAGGAGAAAGGGGAAAGTTATTTCGGCTGGGATGCACCGTGCAGCAGGCACACTCCTTCCTGCCTCGCCCTCCCGTTGCACGCACAGGCTCCGTTGACATCAAGGGGAAGTAGTCGGTTTTTGAGTCGACTCAAAAACCGACACTGGCTCCCTTGACGTCAAGGGGAAGTAGTTCTGGTATGGGGGGTTGGGGGAGAGTGAAGGGATTAGTTTTGAGGGTTCTAAGAAGGGCAGAGATGGTGATTGTAGGGTAATAGGTAGCCCCCATTGGTGCATGTTCAGACATTTCAATAGGTAGCCCCCATTGGTGCATGTTCAGACATTTCAATAGGTAGCCCCCATTGGTGCATGTTCAGACATTTCAATAGGTAGCCCCCATTGGTGCATGTTCAGACATTTCAATAGGTAGCCCCCATTGGTGCATGTTCAGACATTTCAATAGGTAGCCCCCATTGGTGCATGTTCAGACATTTCAATAGGTAGCCCCCATTGGTGCATGTTCAGACATTTCAATAGGTAGCCCCCATTGGTGCATGTTCAGACATTTCAATAGGTAGTCCCCATTGGTGCATGTTCAGACATTTCAATAGGTAGCCCCCATTGGTGCAGTGGAGGAGGAATTGACAAGGTGAGTGAAATTGACCGCCGTCTCAAGGCGTGAAAAACGGAAAGAAAGAAAGGTTGAAAGGAAGGGAGATGGACTTACTGAGACGTCTAAATCGCCCAGCATACTGCACACAGGGCACACGGGGGGCACAGGGAATGGAGGGTCGTGAGGGGTAGTGGCAATGGAGGCAAGGGGTGGGACCCACAGAGTGAGTGAGGGGTATACAATGGGAAAAGGGGCTCGGAGCTTCTCCTAAAACGTTCCGTTCCGTTTGCCTCCGGTTGCGACGGAGACACAAGTATGCTTAGGTTGTTTCAAAGGTCACAAAAAGGAAGACCATACCACAACAAGAGGGACGCATGAGGTGATGAAGCCACGGAGATCGTTCGGGGAAACACGGAGTGGAGTGGAGTTGAGTGGAGTGGAGTGGAGTGGAGTGGAGTGGAGTGGAGTGGAGTGGAGTGGGAGTGGATGTGGAGTGGAATGGAGTGGCACGCACGGGGCAATGAAGGCTCGAATGCCAACGTGCTTGTATGCCCGCACTGCTGCCTCGAGGTCTGATAGGTCTCGGATGTACCTGCGAGAGGTGAAGCGGTGGGGAATGGGGTTGGAATGGGGGGGAGCTGGGGGGTGAACTTGGGGGATGGGGAGAATGCTGACGTGCTTGTATGCCCGCACTGCTGCCTCGAGATCTGATAGATCCCGGATGTAGCTGGGGGGATTGAGGGGGGAGAGTGACGCGGGAATAGGAGGGGCATTAGGGTTGGAATGGGGGAAAATGAAGGGAAGGGAAGTGAGGTTGACATGGTTGGGACAGGAAGCAGTTAAGCGGATGTGATACAGACAAAGATAAGAAAGGGTACATGTAGCCGACGTTTTAATGCGGTGCAGAAGTATCGGAGAGGAGTGGAGAGGCTTGGAGAGGCGTGGAGCAGCAGCAGAGGGGGAGGGAAGAGTGGCAGAGAGGGGTGGAGAAGGGTAGAGAGGTATACTCACAGGTGATCCATCACGGCTGTGCCGCCAGTCATGACAGTCTCTATTGCCGTGTGTACTGCTGCCCAATACACCTGGCAGTGTGGTGAAGTGCGGTGGGATGTGGTACGGTGAGGTGTAGTGCAGTGTGGTGTGGTGGGATCAAGTTTAATGCGGTTGGTGTGGTGTGGTATGCCAAATTGAGTGACATAACACCGCTCCTCACCCTCACCACACCACCCCATCCCTTCCCCCCTCAACCCCACTCCATCACGCCATTCCGCCCCTTCAAACCGAGCTCCACCCTTACACTCCCCTCCCATCACTACACCCCTCCCTCCCCTCGCCTCTCTTCAACGCACCCCTCCCCTCCCTCTCTCACCACATCCGGAGAAACCGAGGGGTTGGGACCTCGGGGGTCCATGTGGGTAAAAAGCGAAGTTACCCACAGCTCCAGAGGCTGGAACGGAGGGTAAGAGGAAGCAGGGGCATCGTGTATGAATAACAAACAAAGAATGAATCAAGAGAAACGGGTGAAAAAAAACACAAAAAAAAAATCAAGTACGACGATTTTTTTTTTCTGTGACAATTCGCACTCCCCAGCAGCTAATCCTGCCATTCATCTCATTATAAGGCGTCTTGTCTCACCAAAGGCGTTTCACCTCACCAAACCGTGTTAAATCTCACCGAACTTTGTTACATCTCACCAGAGGCACAATACCTCCTCTGCCCCATGCCTCTATGCTGTGCGTGTGTGCGTTGACCATCCCTGGCAGCAGCTGACTCAAAGAAAGAGCGCAGGAGAGTAGCAGGAGCAGGGGAAGCGGAGGAGGGAGGAGGGAGACGAAAAAAATATGGAGAGAGTGGTTACTTACACAGTAAGCAGAGGGAGGGTCTATGGACATTGTTGCAGAGGATGTAATTTAAAAGGACGTACCATCTTATTGGTTCCGTCTATAACGTGTACAGCCCTGCCACCCGCTGAAGCTGCGTCACCAGCCTCGGCACCAGGAGCAGCATCACAAACAGTACTATCAGCAGCAGCACCACCAGCGCCATCAGCGGCAGCAGCGGCAGCGGCGTGAGTGACGGCGTGGGGTGTGATGGGGGATGTGCGGACCACCGACTCGATCACTCCGCGAGACATGCGCACAGTGAACCGCGCGTAACTGGGGGGGAGGGGATGGGAGGAAGAGGATGGGGGGGTGGGGGGGTTGGGGAGGGGAGAGGGGAACGGGTAGGGAGCACGAGGATTAAGCACGAGGATTAAGCACGGCGCGGGAAGTAGCTGCTCAAGGGACCACTCACGCGACTAATCCCGAGCCTACCCGTTCATGGGATTTCCGTCTTCGTCGGCGTCCACCGGCATAAGCACGTTCGTTATAAGGTAGTCCACGTCGGCCGCCTGCTGCGCCGGCACTACCGCCGCTGGCGCCGCCATTCGGCCGACAGACACGGCGGCGCGAGGCTGGCGCTAGGAGAGTTTATGTTTCCGATATAACGAAGCGCTAACTCGTTTACTAGCCTCCTCTGATCAACAAATTTTAGATGGGAGAGGTGATAAACGAATTGTTCTCGATATCAGCACGTAGCGTTACTAGTCCGACACCAATTTCTGGAGCTACATTTTCCAAAACTCTACAACATTTATTCCGTACAACAAAATGGTTTCCTACTGCGTACACCCAAAAACCCGAAAACAAAATCGTACGTTGCAGACAAAATACATTACATTTCGAGTGAAATCGAGCTATCCCGTTGGATAATACAGAACCAGTTTTTCTCGAGTCTTGCTAAGTCGCGCGCACACTTCAGTCCCTTCCCGCCATTTCCTTTCCTTCCGCCCCGCGCTCACTCCGCCACGCCTCCCGCCGCCGCCGCCGCTGCTGTTCTCGCCGTTTACGCGTGCCTCGCCGGCTTTCCGCGAAGATGGTGTTCAAGGGAAAGCCGACGTTCGATGTAACGCCGCCGGACGATTTCGACCCGAAGAACCCTTACGCGGATCCCGTGGCGATGCTTGAGCATCGCGAATGGCTGGTTCGCGAAAAGATGGTCGCGATCGAGCGTGCGAAGTTGCTTCGCGAACAGTTGAAGCAGTGTTACCGCACGGAGGGGGTGAATCATATTAAGAACTGTAGCGAGCTGGTGCAGAAATACCTGTCGTCGATTAAGAACGTCGGGTGGGGTAAGGACACGCGGATCCACAGGCTCTACAGCGAAACCGCGGAGCAGAGCTGATCTTGTATCGGGACGATCTTATAACGAGGCTATGTTGCGATACGGTGAGCAATGGGGTAGGCACGGATGGGATTCGTAGAAACCTAAGAGCCTACTTAGAGACGTCGTTATGAAGAGAGGGAGAGCGGGAGAGAGGAACAGGGGGATCGAAGAGGAGGTGGTAGGGAGTTGGGAGTGGGAATGTGAGTGGGTGTGGGGGAATGGGGGAACGTGGGGCCTAGCTGGAAACTTCTAGGTCGAGTTAAGAGTAGAGAGATAGGAGATGAGTGCAGGTGGGATGAGGGAGAAGCGAGACGTGGACAAGAGGAAGGGTGGAGAGTGAGGAGTGTGTAATGTGATAATAAAAGTGGGAGAACCATGAAAGGAATATATGGGATAGTGATAAGGACGAGACATAGGGAGGCAAAAGGGGACGGTCAGGGGGGTTGTCATGCATGGGATAGGATAATGTCGCATGTGATTGTAGAAGTGGGAGAACCATGAAAGGAATATATGGGATAGTGATACGGACGAGACATAAGGAGGCAGAAGGGGACTGGGGGGGGGGGGGGGGGGGGGGGTCATTCATGAATGGGATGACGTCTGAGGTGTCATACATGAAACGACACCTCGGGGTGTCGTTTACAAGGTATCATGCATCAAGTGCAAGTCCATGCATATGGTCACATGATGCTGGATCGATTTGACCTTTCAGTCAACTCAAAGGCCAGTTATCAGGTGCAAGTCCATGCTTATGGTCACATGTTGCTAGATAAATATGGCCACTCGTTGGGGTGTTGGTGACTCTGGTGTAGAGCATGCACATCCCATGCACTCACAAGTTATGTCTAATTTTGAGACATCTCAAAACGTCTTAAAAGTTGTGAGACGTCTCAAGACTGGTGTGGAGCATGCACATCCCATGCACTCACATGTCTAATGTTGAGACGTCGCAAAACGTCTCAAAAGCATTGAGTTGAGACGTCTCAATACTGGTGTGGAGCTTGCACATCCCATGCACTCGCATGTCTAATGCTTGCATACCTCCCATCCTATCGTCCCATCCTGTGTTTGGTTTCAGGAGCTGCACTAGAGAGCAGACAATGCAGGTGCTGGGATTAATCACTCCAGCCATACATTACATTACATTACATTACGTGGCATGCCTATTGATATACTCTCTCAAAACCAGATGCGGTTAATTCATATTCGGCTGTAGTACTGATTGGCTCCTACAGTTCATGTGTATATGTACTTAGCGTTACTACCAAAAGTTGATGTGGGTCGAATCATTTCATGTGGAGAGCTGCATTTGCACAACCATTTGCAAATGCTTCCCAAAACACCTCGACATTTTCCGTCTCAGTACAATGCACTGCTGGAAACAGTTTGTCTGACAGGCAAGAGAAAGACTACAAAGTACAACTTGCAATACAATACCCATGTTTCATTCATCACGTCTCAGCACAGCAGGCATCCCTCACATCACACCCAGTCACACACTCGCTCCTGACTGCTCCGGCTGCTCTTTCAACCCCCTACACCACATTCCCTAAGTCTCAATCAACTCAGCAACACTCATTCGACTGGGTTTCCCTCACGGTTTGCTGCACACTCCTCTCCGCCCTCTAGAACCTCAACAACAACACCCCAAGCAGCAGCTGCCTTTACGAGCCCACCCCTCAGGGGAATGCGGGTTTGCGCCTGGTCCACAATGCATCAGGAATTAAGTCTCCCTCACACCCAACCGCACACTCTACTCTCCGCCCTTCTAAACCTGAACTTCAAGTATCTGCTTTAGCGAGCCCACCACTCAGGGGAATGGGGGCTTGCGCCTGGTCCAGGAAGAATCATGCGACTGGGTCTCCCTCACACTCACACTCCTACTCTCCGCCCTCCTGAACCTAAACACCCCAAGCAGCTGCCTGAACGCGCTCCTCCCTCCTCCCCCACCTCCCTCTCCCCCTCCTCTCCTCCCTCCCTCTCCCCCTCCTCCCCCTCCCTCTCCTCCTCCTTCCCCTCCTCCGCTGCTTCCCCCACCTCCTCGTCGGCGGCTGTGACTACGGGGAACGTGACTCAAACGATCCGCATCCCCCAAATTCCAATCCCTAGAAAACTCACTATCTCCCCCATACGACCTCGACAGGTCCATCAACCCGTCCCCCTGATCACACTCAGACTCATTTCGAGTCGGCTCAAAGCTAATCTCGTGCCTCTGGTTCTGCCCCAGTTGGCTTCCGTTAACCTGGTGCAAAGCGTGCTGAGACTGCTGGTTGTGCTGCTGCTGCTGCTGGTGATGGTGGTGCTGCTGCTGCTGGGTCTGCTGCTGGTGGGAGCTGTCATTGCTGGAAACCGAGAGATCAGAAGTCGACATATTAGCAGACAGAACACACTCAACACCCCCCAGAGCTGCTGGTTCAGAGTATGTTCTCACCACCTCCAAATTCTCCTTGCTCCCCCTAGCCCTTTGCCCGAAGGTGCTGCTGCCAATCCAGGTGCTGCTCGCTTGGTTTTCCTCAGTTGCCGCTGCTGCCGCTGCTGCTAATGATGGTGAAGCTGACGCGGAAGCAACAGAGCCGGTTGTTGCTGTCTGTGCGCGTGCCAGTGCCGCAAATGGTGATGCTGATTCTGTTCTTGCTGTCTGTGCGCGTGCGAGTGCCACGGGCCTTGCGGCACTGGCTGTTGCTGTTGCAGCCGATGCTGCTCGGGCTAGATCCTGCAGCCTAGAATCCAAATCCCTTCCCATTAAAGCCCTTGCTAACGGTTCACGTGCTGCTGCTGTTGCTTCTGCTGCTGTTGCTGCTTGTGCTGTTACTGCTGCTCCTGCAACTGTTGCTGATGTCGGTCCTGCTGGTGCTGCAGCTGACGCCACTCTAGCCAGATCCCTCAGCTTGGCATCAACACCTCGCCCTGAAGCAACCCGCAATAGCGGCGGCTGTGCCTCTCCAGCTTCTGCTGTTGCTGGTCGTTCCAAGCCTGCTGTTCCTGCTACCACTGCTGCAACAGCTGCAGAAGCAGCAGCAGCTGCTGCTGCCGGTAGTGCAGGTGTTGCTGCTGATCCAGCTGCTGTTGCTGCAGCTGTCGCCACTCTCGCCAGATCCCTCAGCTTGGCATCAACGTCTTGCCCTGATGTGGCCCGCAATAGCGGCGGCTGTATCGCTGCTGTCGGTACTGTTGGTGGTGGTGCTGCTGCGGTTCCAGTTGCTTGTGCTGCTTGTGCTCCTGGTGCTGCTGGTGCTGCTGGTGCTGCTGGTGCTGCTGGCGCTGCTGGTGCTGCTGGTGCTCCTGGTGCTGCTGGCGCTGCTGGTGAAGCAGCTGACGCCACTCTAGCCAGATCTCTCAGCTTTGAATGTAGGTCTTGCCCTGATGTGGCACGCACTAGCAGTGGCTGTGCGGGTGCTGCTGCTACAGCTGGTGCTGCTGCTACAGCTGGTGCTGCTGGTACCGCTGGTGCTGCTGCGATTCCAGCTGCCGGAGCTGCAGCTGACGCCACTCTAGCCAGATCCCTCAGCTTAGCATCAACGTCTCGCCCTGATATGGCCCGCATTAGCGGTGGCTGTGCTGCTGCTGCTGCCCCGGCTGTTGCTGGTTGAGCCGTTGCTGCTTCTGCAGCAGCACCAGCAGTGGCAGCAGCGGCACCAGCAGTGGCAGCAGCGGCAGCACCACCAACATCAACAGCAGCACCAGCAGTGGCAGCAGTAGCAGCACCACCACAACCAACAGCAACACCAACAGCAGCAAAGTCAAGCCCTTGAGCCTGGAGTCCCATCAGGTGCTTGTGCAAGTTCTCTATCCGGCTGTTCTGACCCGTCTCAGGGGCTTTCTCAGGTGTCCACAGGTTAAACGACATGCTACTCCCTTTAGGCGAGGCAGTGGGGGAGCACCTGGGCGAATACCTGGGAGAACACCTGACCTTATCTTTCCCTCTTTCCTCCTTTGCTGCTTTGTTGGCAATCCCCAAGCAAAGAGAGATCTCATTTGCTCCTAGGGCGTGTTCAGTGCTGGTTACCGCATCATCACCATCATCAGCACCATCACCAACACCACCACCAGAACCACCAGCAGCAGCACCACCACCAGCACCGGCAACACCACCGGCACCGGCAACACCACCGTAACTATCAGAACCCTTACAAGCCCAAGCAGACAGCCCTGGTGCTGCTGGGCTGCGTCTGGGGGAGGCGTTACCTGCTGGACTGCGTCTGAGAGAGGCGTTAGCTGCTGGGCTGCATCTGGGGGAGGTTTTACCTGTCTGTAAGGCTTTACCTGACAAATAGGCAGTCGCTCTGGGGATACACGCTGTTTCTCCTGCTCCAGAGGGAGAAACATCTGGGGAAGGTAGAACTACAGTTGTAATTTGGCTGCTGCTGCTGCTGCTGCTGCTGCTGCTGCTGCTGCTGTTGTTGCTGCTGTTGCTGCTGCTGCTGCCACTGCTGTGCGTGCTGCCGCTATGGCTGCTGCTGCAGTTGCTGCTGTGGCCGCCGCTGCCGCTACTGTTGCCAACCCCACTGAATGTGGCACTGAAACAACCATCGTCCAGTGAGCTTTGGAAATCAAACTCCTCCTGTCCTTCCCCGCTCACCTCTACAGCTGCTTCCTGTCCTGCCTCGTCCCCCTGTCCCGCCTCGTCCCCCTGTCCCGCCTCACCCCCCTGTCCCGCCTCGTCCCCCTGTCCCGCCTCGTCCCCCTGTCCCGCCTCACCCCCCTGCCCCGCCTGGCCCCCTTGGGTCCCCAGCCTTAACCGCAGTGCTGCTCCTGGTTGCGTGTTCCGCACCCCTTGGCTCTGCTTTTCCGCTGCACCCAAGTTCTGCCGCTCTGCACCGAACTTTACCTCTGCTCCCTGTCCCCCCTGTCCATCCTGACCCGCCTTCCCCTCCATCCTTTCTCCGTCCCCAATTGTCGAACGATTTTCCAAGCCTGAACCCGATCCTGAGCTCCTCCCTGATCCCGAGCAGTCAGCTAGGTTGGTTCCCAAGCCTGCGAGCCAGGTTTGCTCTCGCAGCAGCTGTTTCTGAGCAAGCCCCTTCCTCCTAAGTTGCTTAAAATGGTCCGAGAATCCCGTCGGCCTGCTCTCTACATCCCCATCCCCCCTCTCCGCCTCCCCATCCCCCCTCTCCGCATCCTCATCCCCCCTCTCCGCCTCCCCATCCCCCCTCTCCGCCTCCCCTTCCCTACCTTGCATGGCCGTCTCTCCCCCTCGGCCAGCCTCCAAACTATGCTCAGTCACAACCACAAAAGAAGGCATAACAGGATTCTCCACCCCGGCATTTGGCGCCAAGCTTGGCAAGGAATCAGGAGAAAGCGGAAGCGGAGGAGGGTTCGACCCTTGGCTCAAGTCACTGTCAAGGTCAAGGGTCAAGCGGGGGACTGAGCCAGGAGAGCGAAGCAGGGGAGCAGGTGAGCTGTGGCTGACGTCAAGGTCAAGGTCAAGGGTCACACGAGGTGCTGACCCTGGGGAACGCAGCAGCGGGTTGTTCTGAGCCTGGGAGCCTTCTGGAAAGGAGGACGGGATGTCCAATGGTTGAATCCTGGGAGAAGAACGGATGGGCGGACGCGTTGGTAAGTTCTCTGACTGCTGCTTTTGAGGCGCCTCAAAAGTAGAATGGGGGTCTTCTGAAAAAGAGGAGGGGATCTCCAAAGGCTGAATCGTAGGAGAGGAACGGATGGGCGGTCGGGTTGGTAAGTTCTCTGACTGCTGCTTCTGCTGCTGCTGCTGCCGCTGTTTCTCCTCTGCGCGCCTCTCACTCCCCTCTACCCCCCCTCCCTCGCGCTTCTCCTCCTGTCCCTCCCCTTCCTTCTCCTCCAACACTCCCTCCCGTGCCCGCCCCACTTTCTTCTGCCCTTCCTGCCACAGACTGAACGAGTACCCATTTCCGGAAGCATCCGGATTTTTGGCTCGACTCGAATTCCCCTCCTTCTCCTTCGCCTTCTGCCCTTCCTGCCATAGGCTAAACGAGTATCCATTCCCATTCCCATTCCCATTCCCATCCCCATTCCCAGTAGCAATCGGACCTTTGACCCGACTCAAACCCCCCTCTTCATTCCGCTTCCCCTCCTCCTGCTCCTCCTCCGCCTCCGCCTCCGCCTCCTGCCCTTCCTGCCACAAACTAAACGAGTAACCGTTGGCAAAAGTTCCCGAGCCTAGCGACCGAACCAGGGGGGACGTCCGAGGCTTGGTCACGCTGGAGGCTTGGAGGGAGCGTGAGCAGGGGAGGTTCAGGGGGGCGGACTCCGGGGAGGGGGAGGGGACTTTGGGGGAAGAAGGGGACGTCCGGGGAAGTGCGCAGGGGGAAGCGCGGGGAAGGGCGCAAGAGGGAACGCGGGGGAGGGTGGGGGGGTCTGATAAGTGACAACCCTCCCCGCCTTCGGTCCGGCTGCGAGTGATAACCCCTGGGCTGCCACTGCGTGTGATAACCCCTGGGCTGCCACTGCCAATCCCAAGGCAGCTGATTTCACTGTAGCTCCTCTCACCATCACCACCACCCCCGCCCTCCGTCCTGCTGCGAGTGACTCGCGCTGGAACACCTCCCAACCTCTCCACCGCATCCCACCGCTGTTCCATTGCCCCACATTCCACTGGTAACATGACGACCCCCCTCCTCTCCTCCGTCCGGCTGCGAGTGACTCGCGCCGGCACCCCTCCCGCCCCTCCCAACCCTCCCGCCTCTCCCACCGCATTCCACCGCTGCTCCAATGCTCCCCACTCCGCCGGCAGACTAGTCACCCCTCTCCCCTCCTCGTCTCTCCTTTCCATACTTCCCAACCGCACCGGTAAGCTATTCACCCCTCTCCCCACTTCATCCCTCCGTTCCATTGCTCCCCACTCGTTATAACCAGCACGGTCCGTCTCGTCACGGGGCAAGCGCACCCCACGTGCTCGAGGCAGGCTGTTCATTCTAGCCGGCTGGCTCTCCGGGCGACTACCCCCACCGGAATCTGCAGCAGCCGTGTTTACCGCCATCATATGCGACTCAGCTCGAGGCAGGCTGTTCATTCTTAGCGGCTGGCTCGCTGGGCGAACAGTCGCGAAGGAATCTACAACAGCCGTGGTAACCGCCATCATATGCGACTCAGCTCGAGGCAGGCTGTTCATTCTTAGCGGCTGGCTCGCTGGGCGAACAGTCGCGAAGGAATCTACAACAGCCGTGGTAACCGCCATCATATGCGACTCAGCTCGAGGCAGGCTGCTCAGCCTCTGCGGCTGGTTCTTCGGGCGACTAGTCGTACCGAAATCTGAAGCCGCGGCAACCCCCATGTGTGAGCCTGCTGCGCGCTCCGGAAATGCATAACCCAGGTTCGGATCGACACAGGGCGGCCGATACGATTCGCCGCGGCTCCAAGGAACAACCCCGCCTCCGCCGCCGCTCCCGCCGCCAAACGCGCGGCCGAAACCTTCACTACCGCAGCTGTTGACGCGCCACACGCCGTTAGTTACGCCGCCGCCACCCTCGCCGCCACTACCGCCGCCATTACCGCCGCGAAAGCCGCCGTGGAAGCCGCTGTCGCCGCCATTACCGGTCCAGTGAATCGAATAGTCCGCTGTTCCAGTGCTACTGACACTGCGGGTTATCGACGCCATCATATTACCACCTCCGCCACTACCGCCGCCATTACCGCCGCCAAAGCCGCCGTCACCGCCGCCAACACCGCCACTGCCGGCCCAGTGAACCGAATAGTCCGCTGTCCCACAGCTACTGGCGCTGCGAGTTAACGGCGCCATCATACCACCACCTCCGCCACTACCACCGCCATTACCGCCGTCGCCGCCACTGCCGGTCCAGTGAGCTGAATAGTCCGCTGTTCCACAGCTACTGGCGCTGCGAGTTAACGGCGCCACCATAGCACCACCTCCGGCGCCGCGGCTCACACCAGCTCCTCTCCCTTCGTTATTGTCACAATGTGGTCGCATGCCGTGCGGCCCGCCGGTGCTTCCTCCGATAAAATCACCGTTTCGCGCGCCGTTTTCGCGCCAGCTGGAGTACAGCAGCGGCTCGGTCGAAGTCCTCTCGAGCACCATCGTCGGGGGATGGGAAGACCATGCCCCGCCGTCCGATACGACCCCGCCCGACCACGCTGCACCGTCCGTTCCGGACCCGCTCCACTTCGCGCCGCCACTAAAACACGCCGGGGGAGGCGGGTCCGCAAGGTCGTCATGTCGGCGGGAGAGACTCATAAAGCTCTCGGAAGAATCCCTTCGCAGCCGTCCGTCGTTGCCGAACGCTTCGGAACCCGTTCTGGGCCGTCCGTTGCGGTCGGTATAATACGCCGCGGGTGGCGAGCCCTCAAGGCCGACATGTCGGCGGGAGGGATTCATAAAGCTCTCGGGGGAATAAATGTCGGACGGCCCTCCGCCGCTGGGAGCTCCAGATCCCATGGGGGGCGCTCCGTCGCCGTCGGTATAATACGCCGGGAGCGGCGGGTCCGCAAGGTCATCATGTCGGCGGGAGGGGCTCATAAAGCCTCCGCCGCTGGGCGCTCCAGGACCCGTGCGGGGCCCTCCGTGGCCGTCGGTATAATTCGCCGCGGCGGGTGATGAATCCGCAAGACGCCGCTGGGAGGAAATCACGAAGCCGTCGGAAGAATCTACTCGACGCCCTCCGTCGCCGTCGGTGAAATACGCGGCGGGTGATGAATCCGCAAGACGCCGCTGGGGGGAGATCGCGAAGCCGTCGGACGAAAGCGCGGGAGGCGGGATCGGCAGCGAACCGGACAGCGGTCGACCGTCGGATGATCTCCAATCTTCGGATCGCCGCGATGGACGGTGCGATGATGCTTGCGACGAGTCGCGATGAGGATAGATATCAGGCGACGTAGCGGACGGAGTCACAGGAGAGTACGAGCTCGCGGTCGTATCGGAGCAAGCCGCAAATTGCGGAATACCCGACGACGTGCATGACAGTGATTGGGTCGACGAGTACACTTGATCGCAATACCTAGGAGGCGTTCTATCTGGTGGCCGGGAGGTATATTTAGGAGATAATATCGTATGTATTCGCGATTGGTTCCCCCATGCGGACTGCTCTTCCTGAGATTCGGGATCGAGTCTCCCCGGTTCGGGTGGACGCATCTGCTGATGCGCGTTATAAGCCGAACGAGGAGACAGTTCTTCTTCACGATGTGGCTGCTCTGGATGAAACCTTTCATGCCCCTGTGGGTACCTGTAGATGTCTTGGCGCGCATCAACGGCCATGTGACTGTAACGAAGGCCGTTATGAGACGGACTGGAAGGTGATGACCTGGTGTGGTAACCGTAACAGTCGGAAGAAGCTGCGGCGTCCATGACGCGTAGAGCGGAGAGCGGGGAGCGATGAGGGAAGAGTGAATGGCAAAGAGCGAAGAGCGAGGGTCGAGGAGCGAACAGCGAAGAGCTAGGGGCGACGATGTTTCGTTGGTGGATTTAGCTTGTCGTATCACTTAATATTTCAGCAATGAGTTTTCACGAAAGGTCGGTTCTTGCTCGGAGCCCGTTCAAAAGGCACACAATGCTGCGGACGCGTAAAGCAGACGAGGTAGACTCGAAGCTGGACCTCAGACACGCAAGTGCCGTGCTCGAGTTTCCCAAGGCGTGTGAGAGGCGATGATGGTGCAAAAGAGTACTAGGTGCTTTGGCTGCAAAGAAAATGATGAGCTGGAGGAGAGATGGAGAGACGGCGGAGAGGTGGAGAAGGAAGGCAAGGAAGGGAGAGGAGAGGACAGGAAGAAAGGAGGAATGAGCATGAATAGAATCCATGGTGGTGGTGGTGAATCAACCATGCTGAATCAGTGGTGGCAGAGACGCGTTTCGGCACAGTTAACAGTTTCAGGAACTGCGCTGGCTGGAAGCAAGATGAATGCACCTCGCCTTCAATTGGTCAATGGATTTCGCTGGCCCCAGCACGGCGCAGCGCAGCCATAGGGAGTACCAGTTTGCGATGCTCGTTGCAACGAATCCCATCTATCTCGCCTAGGTTCGAGAATGTGCTGCAAGTTTTTGCGAAAAGCTAGGCGGTCCTCGTTAGCCACAATAACGGACTGTCAAGGTTCGCACGCGGACAGTCGTTTTCGCAAAGGTTTGGTGGTCACTGGTCATCAAGTCACAGACTGCTCAAAGGGATGGCGGGTAACGAGAAAAGTGATTGGCTGCTGGTGAACTCGGCCATTCGACGAACGTCATGATTCCTCAACTTGATTGAAGGCGTGATCATTCCGCATGTTTTGAGATAGCCATGGCTGTAGCCACAGCCACAGCTTTGGCTTGTACAGTGTACAGAAGCCATGTGCGATGCACACCCGATCTGGAGGCACACATGTACTGTACAATCTAAATTCCTTTACTTTCGACCTGTCTTCGACCTGCCTTGTACAGTTAGAGCACATCTTGTTGCATCACTTCCACCCTCTCAAACACCGTACAGTACAAACGCGTCTGGGGAACAGGTCAAAGAGCACGAATCCAGATTAAAGTGCAGAAGTGCTTAGGTCAAACACCACTTATCATGATACCAACAACTCTTATCCACTTAAGTACAGACTAACAACTCTTATCTTCCACAACCATGCTATGGAACATCATGTCAAGTACGGTACTAGCACCTCTCACGAGCACATGTAATTGCTCGCATGACACATGTTACGAATAGTAATACTTGAATATTACTGTGCACTCCTCACCGCAGCAAAGAGAAGCACGCAGTATCGCGAATGTGTCAAACTGATATGTTATGGTCTATCTAGGCTGTAGTCGGGTAGACACTATAGGGTAAAACATTTCTAGGTTTCCTACTTGTACCCACATTTCCCTTAGTCATTTAATTCCTCAATTCTCATATGGTATAGAGCAGGTTCCCTGGTGGGAACTTCCTAGGGCCCACCACTGAACATCGATTTTTTTTTTTCCCTGCCCTGAGATCGAGTCGCTCCTGACCGAGGCGCGCCCTGTGTGCCGCCCTCCCCTTAGCGACCCGTCGCGCCGCCCTCAGCGGCCCTCCCCCCTCTCTCACGGCCCCTCGCGACCCCGTCACCGCCCTCAGCGGCCCCTCCTCCACGGCCCCATCGCCACCCTATCGCGGCACCGTCGCCGCCCTATCGCGGCCCCGTCGCCGCCCTATCGCGGCCCCGTCGCCACCCCCCCCTAGCGGCCCCGTCGCTGCCCTATCGCGGCCCTGTCGCCGCCCTATCGCGGCCCCGTCGCCGCCCTCTCGAGGCCCCGTCGCCGCCCTATCGCGGCCCCGCCGCCTCCCTCTCGCGGCCCCGTCACCGCCGTTCGCGGCCCTGTCGCCGCCGTAGCGGCCCTGCAGCCACCCCTCGCGGCATCGTCGCCGCCTTCTCGCGGCCGCGTCGCCGCCTTCTAGCGGCCTCGTCGCCGCCCCTCCGGGGGCCCGCTACCGCTCCTAAGCGGCCCCGACGCCGCCTCCTACGCGGCCTCGACGCCGCCTCTACCGAGCCGCCCAGCAGCAGAGCCGCCGAGCTGTGAGAATGAGAACGAGAGAATGAATCAACTATGAAATGAGTGAGTACAAGTACTAACCCTAATTGGGTTGTTCCCCCTATAGGATACCCCACTGTAGCCTACACAAATGTATAAGCTATATAGCATTCTGACACACCCCCATAGGCAAAGTGGGGGAGAACAAGGGGTCACAAGACCAGTCAAGTAAAGCAAAGCAAAGCAAGCTCAGGGTGGATCACAAAGTCACCACACAGTCCGAGCACAGGGTCAAGGCCACACGGCCAGTTCACATGCAAGAGTACATACATATATATAAAGTTAGACAAGCAAGAGCAGGTATATATATATGTGAGAGTACAAGCAAGGTCAAGAGGAGAGCAAGTGAGGCAAGACGGGCACAAGACCCAGCTGAGTGCAGAAGCGCTGATGATCACAAGGCGGAAGTGCCTTGGTGAAGACATCAGCAGTGTTGGCCTCAGAGGCCACGTACGCAAGCCGCAACTGTCCACGCTGCTGTAGCTCACGAGCAAGGA